AGAACCAGTAGAAACTAAATTCTCCCTACCATCCTGATACTGGAAAGCACTCCTGACTTCTCCGTTGGCTTCCATGTACTCCACTAGGTTCTTCAGGAAGCCATGATGGCGGATGGTGTCTGAATCGCAGATGACCGCGACGTGGCGGCGGGCTCGCGTGACTGCCACGTTGATGCGGCGATCCTCAGCCAAGAATCCAACCTCCCCTTGAGACAGGATATGATTTCGATTTTAATTGAGCTATCAAGAACACATAGTTGTGCTCCTGACGCGCCCTGAAAAACGTCCACCAGTCCTTAGCGAAATTCTGTCATTTTAATGATCTTATAAAAGTATTTGTTATCATTATCCATAAATTCGTTTAAGATTCTAATACGGCACAGTTAAAAATTATTCAGCCAATTGAGTAATTTATTTGAGCTTAGCAAATACCTGAGATTAGCAATTCCTGTGCCCAACAACTCCAATCATTGTTTAGCATGCAAGTTTGTGTGATCCGAAGCAGTAACAATAACACGAACTTTTGGCTGGTGATCCATTTATGCTAAGCAGACATTTGCCCTGCTCAGCGACCCTAGGAAATTAGTTCCGGATTGGCCCACTGGTATCATGTCACAGGTCACTGCAAATTGAGAGAATCTTTGTACTGAGATTGATTTCAATACTTCATTGCTCAAGAGCAACTTTAGAATCCGCGGTCCAGACCTTTGCTGTTGGATCGCACGAGGGAGATCACCACAGCTTCCTTCTCTCGTCCTTGGAAGCCATCAACTGACTTGATCTCTAGGTCAGGGTGCCTTCCGCTGAGTCGCAGTCGAAGGAGCTCCACCTGTTGAAAGTCCATAAAGGACACTTACGGCAACATTTCCCCTTTCTTACTAGTCATACCAAGCCATAGATCTTTCAATAGGAGCTGTCTCTATAACAAAGAGAGGGTCTTTCACGATGTAATCACCTGCAAGTTGTAGGGTGCAATCACGGCAATCTCCCAAGCCGGTACCCCGCTGTCCAGGAGCCGCTCGATGTGGACAGCCACCAGATCTGCCTCCCCTTCGTTGCCTTTGGACACCTCCGATTCCAGGTCCAGTTCCTCTAGGCCGCAGCCAGCCGTGTCGATGAGCAACAGCGGCAAGGACGTGTCCTCGTTCTGCTCCACCCCGGGAAGATCTTTCGAGGGTTGAATTTTAAAACATGACACTGAGCGTTTGATGGTACAGGAGGACGCAACTCTCTGTGATACCCGGGAACTTTGTGACCTCTTGTGGTGGAAACAAACTGCTACATTATGACAAGCCGACAGTTTTTCACTTTGCTGTGACACCAGGTTGCAAAAGCTGCGGGATGAAGAAAGTTGCGTCCTGCTATCCAACAGAATCTGCACAAGGATGCATTCAATCTGATTATGGTCAGCTCTTCACATAAACGGCACTGTCAAAACAACATACTGTTCTGAGTATCCCGATCTCTTGAATTCCTGAAGTTTCTTTGATTGTCCAATACGACTGTTTCAAAATAGTGCGCCTCCAATTACAATGCGCGAAAATCTGTCGACCCAATTAGCATTTGGAAAGGCGCATTGTGATTGGTCAACGTGTATCAAACTCTTGGAGGCGCACTATTGTGAAACGCCCGTATTCTGTTCTTGCAAGGTTCTCATAATGACAAACTTAGTTTGGCTCGTCCCAAAAACCTTGCGATGATGAGAGTTGACTGTTATTCAACAGGGGCTTGCCCCTTAATACCAACAGTGAACATTTTACAAGCTGCTTAAGGTTTCGAAGATGCCTCTGTGAAAAATGCAGTTAAATATGGTACCTTTCAGGAGGTGTCTTGCAACTGACTCATCTGCTGCTAGCTTTCCGTCATACAGCGCGTCGGAGCTCCACCGCATGATGGCGCTGTTCATGCGGTACTGGGTAGTCAGCATGCGGGTGATCTTGTCGTCATGGAGCTTGACGGCACGCTCCATGAGAGACACTGCGAGTCCATCTGCTGCTGCTCTGTTAACTCAAAGACAACGAGCGTTCCAGAGAGTACTACTCAAAGTTGAGACTCCCACTGACTTGGAAATCTCAACAAATTGTATCAATAGGGATTCAATTTACAGTAAGCCGGTTTAGTGATTTGAGATCAGGGCACAGGTGGGAGTTGGCATGAGGCCACGCTGGGCAGACCTTCTGCACACATGAACCCTGAGCTGGACCAATAGCAGGTGCAATTTTCCTAGCAATGGAGGCTCCATTGGTGGAAATTGCACTTTGTTGGTTCACAAACGACAATGACTACCTTGAAAATACAGGCGATTGCCAGTCCAACGTACTAGCAGAAGGTTACATTGTGGAAAATGGCAGACGATTGTATTAGGCGGGGGCAGGTGGGGAAACCTAACTTTATTCTCGATATTTGTTTGCCAGGGAACAAGATTTGTAGGTATATTTCGAGTCATAGTTTCGAAAAATCCTTTCTTCCTTTTCTTGCATGGAATGTCCCAATCTGTCAAAAATTTCGACAAGTTATCAAACATGAAAAATGGCCTCTCCGTGGCAAGTTTTTGGTACCGCACTGTAATGTCACTCACAATTATAGAATATCAGACTTTTCCTTTTACCGCCATCCTCCTTTGCTTTAGGAGTAACGCATGTTAACCTGAGGTTCAGATCAAACTTAGTCACACCTGTCTGAGAGAATCGTGGGTGGCAGCTGCTGGTGGTCTCCGGCGAGGACGCAGCGCGGTGCCAACAGGAGGGGTATCCAGCAACCGGCTTCCAGGGCCTGGGCACACTCGTCCACGACCGCCAGGTCAAAATGCTCCCTGGGGAGGTGACTCAGGGGCCCCGTAGGCGAGGCCCCGGTGTTGGTAGCCAGGACAACATCTGCCCGCTGGAGGATCTCTTGGACGGCGTGCTGTTCCCGTTCTCGGAGCTCCTTGCGTAGGGTCCGGGCCTCGTCTCTCAGACGGCGTTTCTCACCGGCCTGCTTCGTCTTGGATAGCAGGGTCTGTGAGGGATATGAGAGGGAGTTTGAGAGGAGCAACTGGGTGTCAGGGGTGCAAAGACAAGGGTAGAGCTCGGGGTCTTGAAAATCTGGGTTTTGAGGTTTGCCCGAAGTTTAAGCAGAGCTGTAAATAAGTCTCCATCATTAGTCAATCACAAGTCATCTGGGCCCAATTCCACGGCACTGGTCACCGTTTAGCAAATGTTTTGGGCTAATCATAGCACAAAGGTTTACTCAAAGGTAAGTGTATTTAAACATTTCACGGTTGCTGTGCTTAGCACAAGAAATGCACGGATGTCTGTGGACATTTCGAATGTTAAGTCCCTGAGAGCAAATTCCTCCTCCAAAGTTAGCATGCCTTTGTTGTGCTTACTGCTTATGGTCTATATATTAAAAGAGCCTCTGATGGCGTAAACTTGGTGGCTTAGCAGCACCGTGAAACTGGGCCTAGGGCCCAATTTCATAGAGCTGCTGGTCTTACCCTGGTCTGATCAATCTCCTTCCTTACGTCACGGACGATCCCTGCCTCTTCGCTGGATGCCAAGATGGCGTCCAGGGCGTATCTCTGGATGGAGTGCAAGAGCCTTGCGGGGTGGCCAAGGCGGACAATGTGCACCTTGCCAGCGGCCAGTCTCTCCACTAGATTGTCTACGGCGACGTTGGACGGTGCACAAGCCAACACCTGCGAGAATTGAATCAAAAGCTTTCTTTGTGACAGGTTTGTGAAATTAGACCATCCTCCAGACTTTGCTCTTATCTTGGACTAGCATGTTAATGCTGTAACATATATGCCAATATCTTTACCTTTAGTTTTTGCTTGACAGCCTGTCTGATAATCTCCACGATGGTTGTCGTCTTCCCCGTGCCAGGGGGTCCGTGGATGATGGCGACATCTCGCTGGCCGAGGGCAAATGTCACGGCCTCCCGCTGGGACCGGTCTAGATTTTCATTGAAAAATTGCAGCTCGGCCGACTCTGAAAAGAGGAAGGAAAAAAAAAATGGACGCTTGAAAATCAGGAACTACAAGGAATCCTTCTTGAAACGGATGTGGACAAAAGCAAGCACTGTACATTCACTGCTGTCTCAGGGTTTGTGACAAAAAAAATTACAACCTTTCTCAGAGGAGACAAAAAACACTAAGTAGCAGGCAAGATGAGGTCCAAACCAAATTTTTTTTTTGGGGGGGGGGACTTTTTTGAGAGGGGCCAAAAATTTGGAATTTTTTCAAGTTACCTTTTATGGCTTTTCTGAGGGGTGACGCAACATTTGAGGGTTTTTACATGCTTTTGTAAGGAGGGAAATCAAATACGTGTAAATTAAAAAACACCTTTCTCTCATTATCTTAAAAAAAAACCCAAATCGGCTTCTTCTTTTGGGGGGAGGTGAAGACACGGCTCCTGTTGCCCCCACCACAAATTCCATCATCACCTTAGGACTTTTAGATTTAAAGATATTGAAGGATACCTGCTGGTTGCCGAGGCTGGGGTAGAGGCAGGGATGGAGGACTGACATCCGCTTCCCCAAACAAAACATCGACCAGATGATGAGCCTGGCTCGAGGAGCAGGCATCAAGATCTGAAAGGGACCTGTGAATGATTACCAAAGACGGGCAATGACAAATTTGGGATAATCAACATGCGAAAGTGTCATTTTACCAGAGAACGTACTAACCCTAATCATGCCAGACCCAAAAAGATTCTATAATTCACACTAACCTAAAGGATTACGGGCGAGTTTCTCAGTGTGAAAATGATGCCTAGCCTAGATTTGATATGGCATTCCACTCTGGCCAACAATTTCAGTCACCTTTTTAACCTTCGGTACGTGACATCGTTGGCGAGTTTAGTCAACCTGTACAGTCCCTCGTACTCGAAGGTAACAGGTCCCTCTGTGTCTTTGTGATCGAATGCGACGGTGATTGACGACTGTGTGACTCTCGAAACAATGCCAGATGGATCCTCAGTAGAGGAAGCCCCGCCCCCATGGGAGGGGCTTACACCGACAATGTCTCCTATTGGACGATGAAGAACAAAAGCCATTGCTCTTAACTCATCATGAATACGTGATGTGGGGGAGGGACATTTGTGAACAGGGTTCCACCCCAATCAGTCAATCCTGTCACAAATCTTTGGCTACACTTTCCCTTTTTTGCAGCAATACTCCAAAAATTGAATTAGAAAGTGGAGGTGATCTATGAGTGGCAGAAAGATGGACGAACTTTACCGCAAAATCAAACAATTGCGAAGCAAGGACGCTATATTCTTGAAATATACAAATGCCAATTTTTTTTCCTGCAGGTACTATCAGCTATTTTAAAAGCAGTAAAGTGTCCTAAAAAGTCAAGTGAGCAGGGAAACTATCAAGGTATCCGTGTCCAAGTCACTTGAAATTTTTCAGACCAGTCTAACGGGTTTGTGCACAGGGTATATACGTAAGTCTTCCCAGACAAACTAAACGCTGCATTGGTCAAGTGTTCAAGTCTGCAGAGTTCTAGCAATCTGGTGTACCTGAACTGATGTTATGCGTCGGCAGTGTGCCATCACCATGGCCTTTTCTGGGTGCGAAGGTAACTAATGTCCTCCCATAAAGTCCTGTGGATTGGCTGGCTGGATGAAGCTTCAGCAAGCAAACACCACGCCGCTGTAATTCCTTCAGGGGTACATTTTCTGCTAGCGCACTGGTGAAATGCAATGTAAATAAAAAGATACAAAAAGTAGTCATATATTTTTATGAGAGATACTTGCTGATACCATCTAACTCCCTCCCCATTATACTCTTTAAATGCAATCTTGTTGTTTTGTTGATTGCAATTGTAATATTGATGAATGCAATAGCTTACTCTGTCACTTTAATTCGTAACAAGCCAATGGAAAGTAAGTATCTATGTGAATTTTTGCATGGACAATAATAAATTTGAAACTGAATCTATATAAAAACAGCCACAAACTTAAAAACTTCACCATGGGCAGAGTGACACCAAATAAGCATCATAGGCCATGGCTTGTACCTCTTTCAATAAGTCTACATTTAGAGCCGAGTCAATTTGCATAATTTACTATTCAAATATTCGACTTTCAATTCGATCGAATATCAGAATACTTGGTCGTTCTGACCAGCAGATTGTTGATGAACAAACCACATCAGTTGCGACAACAAACACAATTATAATAGCTTCTCAGATCTAGGAGTAACTTCAGCCACAATTTCTCAAGATTTAAGAAATGAACAAGACTTCTTGCAATGTTGAAAATTTCTATTCCTTTTAAATTGTTCAATGAATAATTTCATAAGATTGGTCACTTTTCATCTGAATTTTCCCCACTATTTTATGAATTTTGCATTTGAATATTCAGATTTGGAAATTATATTCAAATATTTGATAATTGATCAAATATTCAATTATTCGGCACAGCCCTATCCATATTGGGCCTGTTTGTTTCATAAAGGCTTCATACTTCAAATTCATTTTTGCCTCACTGACAAACATGACAACACAACCCACCTAATCAGCTGATGGATTGATCAAGATTAACATGATCAAGATCAGTGTGGAACAAGCAGACCCTAACCCGCTAACACTTATCTTATCAGTGCATCTGATCAGTGCAACTGTAGGCCTAATACTCATTAGTAATAGGCCTAGGCCTACCTGCGGTCCTATGTTTAGCTCATTTCTTTTTTTTCTGTAAGTATTCTGCATTTTTCTGTAAGTTTGTGTTAAAATTTTTTTTTTTGTAATTTCAAGTTAATGTGTGCATTCTGTATTTTGTACCTGTACTTTCATTTTAAACTAATTTGTTTTTGTAATTTTGATGTGAGGGCTCCTTTGAACATGTTGGAAAGAACTTTCAGCTAAACTGAAACTTAGTGAAAGGACTATCCTCGTTACAGATTTCAAAAACTAAAAAATAAAGAATACTTTCGAGTTTTATTGGTATCATGCATAATGCATGACACTTCACTTGACAGGCCAAGCCATGTGCCTACAGTGACTTAATTCATGATGTAGGCTAGTACATGCATATCATACAAATCATGTGAAAAACGGACCATGATTCCCCTACCTTGTTTCGGCTATTTCTGCTTCTCTCTCAAGAGCCAGTAGTTCACTTTGCTTCTTGATAAATTCCCTCACAGCCATTTTCTTAAACAGACGCTGGGTTTCCTCTCCCTTGTCTCATTCTCTACAGTCATGACACTAACTCCAAGTCAATCACACTCAGTACTTCACACTGGTGAGGGCGCAGCCATTTTGATAAACAGCGCCACCAATAGTTCAAGTCAATGGAAAAAGTTGGACGAAGAGAAATTTTTCTTTTCCTGATCGATTTAATGTTCATGGCCTAGAATAACTGCCGTCTTTAACCATCACAGAAAAACAATGTTTAGTTAACTATATCGGAGAGAGTTATGACATTTGTTATATCATACATCTTGAAAAAAGTGCACTTTTAAAAAGCCTGGACTTTGACAGATTAAAATTATAGGAGAACAACACGTGAAAAACTGACCAGCACAGATCGTTGTCCTAGCAGGAAAATCACAGGGAGAATTTTAAAAGGCTATGAAACGTTAATTATTCAACAGTTTATGTTTTTAACTTTTTAATTTTTTAGTAATTTTCATTAATTAAAAAACTGGTAAAATTTCCGATAAAGAGAAAAGTTCAACGAGCACGGATTTCATCATTGTCTTAAAGCTTCTTGAAGTCTCCAGAATCCATGCCTTTTCATCAGAGATTTTTTGACGTCGTGCCCTAAGACTCTGTTGGCGTGGAATATGAAGACATCTCCAAGTGGCGCTCCCGACATTTTCCTGCTCCGGTAAGTATCCCCATCAGGAAACTGCTCCAAGTCCAACCACTTCAGGCGCATTTTGCGCCCAAGAGGGCTCTTTATTACACTAGCCAACGCTTCTTGGTCATCTTTGTATGCTTTGGTAGTGTGGTTCAGCCACTCGACCCAGGCTTGGACAAATTTAACAGACATCGCTCCCGATTTGAAGTACATGAAACAAGGGCAGGGCACATTAGGGAAGTGGCCCGGAGCAATCCAGGCGTCGTATTGGTCGAGCTCCGGAGCAATCACTGCCATTGGATCTTTGATCCAGAAGGCATCGATGTCAGCAAGGAGGACGTCGACTCCTGTTTTGAGGAGACGGAGTAACGACGCAGGCCTCCTGTTGATAAGCTTGTAGTAGGTCACGCTGTGGTGATCAACAGCGTCAGAGACGTGACTGCCATTGACACCAGACTGAAGGAGAATTTTCAGAGACCCGGGGTAGACAGCTTGGAGCCTCTGGAAACTACCGAACGCCTCTGCATCTTCCACCAAGATTGTGACGTTGTAAGTGACCCCGATCTCCCGAAGGCTTGTCAACCAGTTCTGGGTGAAGTCGGCAAAGCCCGAGTTGGCGCTCACCATTATGGTGAACGATCTTAACTGTAGGTCTGCTGAGGTCTTCCAGCCTCCAAGTCCACCGTTTGACCTCCTGGACTGAGGGCGCATATACTTCCTTCGTCCGCGGGAACCTCTAGTCCTGTTTATAACGGTCGACAGGGTTGTACCAGCGTGTTTGGTCACATGACCTCCCTGTGAAGCATCATCAGCCTTGAAGACTACTCCTTCGTAAGAAGCACGTGAACTCTCCTTACTTTTTGCATACTTGATGGAGAGTTCTGGGTGAAGGAAATTTGCCGCTCGAGAATCTTTCTGTCTCCTCAAGTGCTGCCTTTCTTCATTTGCTGATTTGTTCTGCTGCGATGGCCAATCAACCATGTCGGGGAAGACCTCCCGTAACCGTGGCACTTCTGAAAGGAGGGCAAATTTAAAGGATCCAGGAAATGAATTTTTCTTAGAATCACTTTATATCTGAACTCCTCTTCAATTTATGGAGACTGTGTGAAAACGTTTTTGAGTTACTTGAAGTGAAAAGTGTAATTTTTAAACATTCCAAATTGACCAAGCATTTCTGGGACAAGATTGAGGGCGCTTTTGCGTTGAGTTAAATCCAGGAAGACGTGGTTCAGTTTGCACATTCTGATGCAGTATCGGTCTCAATGACGAAGATCTTCCTGTCACCACAACGACCCCGTTTCATTGCTTTGCGAAATTTGAAATGTAACTAAAGAGTACACTCACCTGGTACCCAAGTTCGGCATGTGCAAACGTCATAAACATAGAACACAAATCCCACGAAGACAAGATTCTCTACGATCAGGAAAAGTCCGACAACATTCCACAGCGCCGGCCTCGACGCTTTCCCCTGAGCCGCCCCGTAGCGCCGTTTGCCGGGCCAATTTCTGATCCGATTACCGCTGAGAGAGTTGAGAACGGGAATGTGTGGTCCCCTCGATATGGCCATTATTCCGCGATATCATGTCGAACAGCACATCGTTTAGTTCGTGGAGCTATTTACACGACTTAAAGAAACAAGAGTGCCGCTATCTTGCACTTAGCTTGACAGGAAATAATCAAATGGATGTACTTGTTACTAGTCGTATCATTTCCACCATGTCGAGCCAGACGTGACTGGCGCAACCGTGAAGAAGAACAGACGTCGACTTTCTTGCGATGTTTTTAGTCTGAGTTATGTAACCGTTTATTGTAAATAGCTGTGGACCAAGAACGGATCATTACAATAGAAAGGATCGGTCACAATAGGTTGATCTTTATGACACAGCGGAGCGTGACTGGAACATCGAGTCCTGTTCCTGAACAGGGCTCAGAGTAGATTCTTTAAATTGCATTTTTTTTCTCTTGCCTTGCAGTGGAAAACTCCAGCTCGGTGTCTTTTTCCTTTCAAACTGTCGAGTAGCACTGAGGATTTGAAAAAATTACGTTGAACCTACTGACCACATTCATTAGACGCCCGCCTTCTTCCAATTATCCGAATGTAACTTGTGGCACTCTTCTTCGCTCATTCCATTCATTAAAAGTACTCATTTCAGAAAGATAATACAGTTTCCGCACCTGTCGACCCAAAAGGCCTGTCGAGCAGAGAGGCCTGTCGACCAAAAGAGGTAGCAAGCCAGATCCAAAATTACTGTAACTTTCACTGTGTACGACATACATTGCTTCATGCCAAATTTAGTAAGACCTAGATACATTCGATTTTGACATAAAATACCAGTGAACTGTGGAACAAGTTAATTATTTAGAAGGATAAAGTTTAAACACGTGAACAACAGAGAGACGAAGAAACAATTATCCAGTTTGCAGGTAGACAACACACTCCAAAAACTGCCTACTAACATTTAGTATGGATATCATTGGTCGAAATAAGCCTGGAAAATGTCTGTTTGGACAAAAGTAGTTTTGGACCTGGAAAAGAATGAAGCAATATAGCGACAGTTTTAGGTTTGTCATCAAAAATAATCTTCCAAAAAGTAAACAAGCAAACTTAGCAAAAGAAACCATGAGTCGAGACTGACTTGAAATAGACGAAGCAGATTACAGGTGTCCACACTATTCCGAAACAGTTCATTTAAACACAAATTTTCTACGTGTATAAAATATATCGGACTATTTGGAATTCGAAGAGTACAACACGGGCGATTCACAATAGTGCGCCCCCAAGAGTTTGCAACGCGTTGGCCGATCACAACGCGCGGAATTTGTAGACCTTTTCCAAACGCGCATCGGGTCGACAAATTTCGCGCATTATGATTGACCAACGCGTTGCAAACTCTTGGGGGCGCACTATTGTGAAACGCCCGTATTGTACACTGTTACAGTAAAACTGCACTAACGGACTAGGCGTACAATCAACACAATTTTCCCAAAAGTAATATATATGTCCAGAAATTATGTAATAATACACAGTGATCTGACCCCTAAAACATTCAAGCGTCTTATTTCACGGAAGTTCAAACTCTGGGTAGATCGCTGTTTATTTAAATAATATTGGCAACAACGTGGTTATACGTGTTATGCGCTGATCCATTTGTTTCTTCCATGAAAAGTCCAGAAGCATACTTTGACTTTTATACACGTACAATCAGAAAAAACAAATATCCACAAATTATTATAAGAACTTCGTTCATCCAGGCTTTGCAAATCATGTCATTTCCTTTCACTCCAAGCATAACCCGTTTTCCTGAAATTTCAGCGTTTACACTTTTTTGGCAAATCTCGGTACAGAGAGAAGTCGGAACTTTAGAGAGAATTTTATCGAGGAGAAAGAGTTTCGCTCTTTATCGCACTGACAGAGACAGGGCTTTGATTTGTCTTCAAATTTCATTAGTTTCCATTAGATCAATTTATACCAATCAATAACTTCCTCCTATAGCTTGGTCTCCTTCCAAGTGCGGCGCCAGAGGGCGTGCGACATGTTCTACGTGTATGATATTACTGTTGTTTTAATGTTTGTATGGCAAGTCTTCCCTCCATTGGAAATACGTGGGGACAGGCTGATGATAGACATAGCCATAGCTCTGGAAGCCCATTTCTAACATGGCTGCAGGCTGAAATTTCGACTTGTTTGATTTGTGTACATTCATATCTTAAAACGTAAGAAAAGATGTACAATTCTGAAATGACTTAAAAGCAGTGTAACTGAGTCTATTACAAAACTGAGTGACATGGTTAGCAGCATTCTAAGCAGTTACGCTCTCTTTTGCATTAACTTTGACAGTAATCAGCTGAGTGTACAGTTTAGCGTAAACATCTTCCGAGTTATTACGATCCAGTCATCTGACGGAATTCCCACGGCAAACACCCGTGACCTGTTTTAATGCCCTCGAGCTTCCGAGTCAATCTTTTCATCAACTCTGTTTTTGCGAGACTGGTGTCGGTTTCATCCCGGGAGCCTACTTGCTGATCTTGTTTTTGTCTCTTGGCAACGTGGCCCACTAGAATGACTCTTCCTCGTCTTGTTCGTTCAACAAGAACTCATCGTCAAATTTGCTGAAGGTGTAAAAAAACCACGAATTTTTATAGTGGGGTACACACGCAAAGGTTATGAACAATATGTAAAAAAAAGTTTGAAAAAAACTCTTCCTTCAATTTGAAGCCTATACTTACGACGGGTCCGGATAGAGGCTCTGGACGTCCTCAAAGATGTCCACGAGATCCACGAACGAAGGGCGGTCCTCTGCCTTCTTCGACCAACACTTTTTCATGATCTTGAACCTGGAAGGGTCAAATGTCAAAGAGGGCGCGTGATTTGACTCGTGGTGGGCCACGTGGTAGATACATCGTGTTGTTAATGACAATGTGTGCTACCACATGGTATCCCAATTTAGTGATTATGAGGGATTTGTTGGAGAGGGAAAAATGATTGAAAGGAACTCTCTTTCAGGAGATGGCACTTAAAATAGATTCGTTGGAAGCTGAATAGAATGCATTTGCAATACAATTTTCCCGAGGGTTTTTCGGAAAGAAAATTGCTCCTTGATTGTTGATATTCCTTAGTTATCATACGACAACTTCCATGCTGAAATGTGATCGAAAATCGATATTTTTGTTGGTATCGATACTCACAGCTCGGTGTCGCAGTTCGGTGGTCTATTGGGGTGCATGCCGGCAGACACCTTAAACCTGACCTCCTCGTTGGTACAGCCTGTGTAGGGCGCCACCCTCCCTGATTGAAAAAAAAGGAAAGAAAATTCAATTCTAAGGTTAAATCCAAAATAATACTCCCCGTATCGTTCCGGACAATCCCGGCTGCAGCCTTGAACCACTCTGAACGCAGGAACACAAGGGGAAAGGTGAGCCGTGTGAGCAACAGCCGCTAACATGATTTCTGGGAACTGGTCTGCCCATTTAATTAAGCAGAGCAAATGCCCATTGGACAAACGAATTACTAGTCCAACAGAATGAGATATATGATGTTAGTTGTTGTGTCTTGTTCCCTGCTGATTCTGGCTTGGCGTGTATCCTGTAAACAAGCCTATGTTTATTACTCAAATCTAACTTCGTTGAATAAGAACGAACCAAGGGTACAGACTAACTGGATTAGACTCTCCTTTGTACCGCAATCATACGTACATTCTTCAGTTTGACGCCTGGATAATTACCATCTTCTATTGGTCGAAGAGGCATATAACGCGCGCGTACAAAAGGCGTATAAAATAATTCTAGTTTCAAATAACGCTAGAGACTTACCAAGCGTGGCAATTTCGAAGAGTAAGATGCCAAAAGACCAGACGTCTGATTTCGTGCTGAAAACGTTGTCCAGGATCGACTCGGGCCCGTACCAGCGAATTGGCGCTTTCTGAATAGGCAATAAAGGACATAAGGTGGACCAACCTCGCTTTCTAAATTACAAAAGGCTGTGTAGCCACCGCCGATCAGTGATCACCACTGACCTAAACAAACCACAATTGTTTATCTCGACAGAAGACTGTAGTCTTATAGTAATCTGTTATACTCACCAAGAGGATTTAGATTCTGGAATGATACCTACTTTGGCAATAAATATTTTGGCCAGAGATGCGAGTGAGTAATTTGACAATAGACGAAGTCTGTTTCGGTCGGTGATTTGCATGATGTAATTTAACGGTTGAGGTTAAGTTGGGTGCAAGGTTTTCAAAAGAATTTTATTTAACGGGATGTGAACTTATGTGATCCGGACACGATTTTGGCACATAATCGTTTTGTGGGATGCACATCACATTCGTTTTAGGCCTGTCTAGTTTTAGGTTCGTGAACTATTGCAAGTTCCAGTCTTTCGAAACAAATTAATCGGAACTATGGTGGCATTCGAACTATCGCCCTCCAAAAGGCCAGGCCAGACCAGACCAGCACGCTCACGCACGCAGCTCCTTTGGCAGGCAGATCAAGTTGAAACACCCTGTATTAGCTACGGTAGGAATAACTTTCAAATTAGGAGATATTGGCTACGTCCGAATCTGTTGTCTAGAGCTAGGTCTAGGTCCTCACTCCATTGGCAATCTGTGGAGACGCGTAGACAATAGACCTAGCCGTAGCTCTGGAAGCCCATTTCGGATACGGCCATTGTTGTGGGCATTATAGACTAGTATGGCCTACACACCCATCTGGCCCCTGCCGCTATATGGGTAGCTGAAGGGGAAATACTTGGTAACTTACGTCAGGGGCACGTCGATAGTACTCAATGCCGAAGACGTCCCGAGCGAATCCGAAGTCGGCTACTTTGCAGACCTCCTCTTCACTGATGAGGATGTTGCGGGCGGCAAGATCCCGGTGAACTATCTGTTGTCATGGTAACAAAAGCCATATACGGTGACGTCGGGAATTATCTTTTGTGCTAACACATGGACAAACACACCTTGATTAACAGCAAAGTTTGTGGAAGGGTTGTTGGTGAAAACGGACCACTGAGTGATACCTAAATTATGGTGTAATTAATAAATAAAAAGTCACCATTGTGGTGGCACAACGCTCGTGGACAGGTGGTATGCGCGCGTTACATGCCTCCTCGACCAATAGGGTGTCGTGATTTGCAAAATGCACGCGCGCGTCAAGCTCAAGAATGTGCATTATGAGTGTGGTGCCACCGCTGTTATGGTGTCTTATCGGACTATTCTATCACACACTCTCATAAAATTTTAAAAGGCCAAACCCAGCGCTGATGGACGTAAGCTTTAGTGTTGAACTGAAAGACGGGCGGTGACTGCCACGTAAGATCGTCACTTGACTTACCTCCTTCTTGGAGATGTGTGCCATACCCCTGGCGATATGGAGGCCGAATTTGGCGAGGTAGTGCCGAATCAAGTCTGGTCCGGTCTTCTTGGGCGATTTCCCCCGCAGAAAGCTCAGGAGGTTGCCGCCCGTGAGGTACTCGGTGATGATGCAAATTGGTTCTGCGAAAATCAAAGACAGGGATAACAGATCTAAACGTTGACACTGATGCATTGGGTCGTTTGAACAAAAAAGCCAAGAAACAGGTCGACAACATTCTTTGAAATGGTTGTTACAAAGAATTCAAAATGACGTCATTCTCCAATCAAGATGACGGTAGCTCAGTGTGCAAACTGTCTTTATGGCAGTCATGTAATTTTTGAAAATACTCTTAGGGTGTTATTATTGGTATGGAAGAAAACCTTATTAAAGCAGGCTATGTTCGACACAATTTTGTTTATAAAACTGTTTTTGTGAGCCAGTAGAATTAATGATCAACCAATCGTGTTGCCCACTTTCATTTTTAAAGCAATTATGCCTCATCCCTATACTGGTTTCTACAGGCTTACAAGCTGCACTCCTTGGTTACATAATTGGAAATACTCCTTGTATATGACCTACTACATGCATGGGTGTCGCCATTTTTTTCAGGGGGATGCAAACCCCACGGGAAAATTTCTGAGGGAAAAGGATATTAACAAAGCACTCATCAGGTTAAAAAGTTGAAACAATCATTGGCTGGAGAGAGTCAATTGGGAGTTTTTAAAGCAAATTGGTGATTTTCGTCAACCTTCATCTCGCTTCTCTCGTTTCTTTCGCTTTCCTAATTTTTACTTTTGAATTTGGGTTAACAGACTCACCGTCTCGTATGCAGCAACCGAGAATCTCGACCACGTGTGGATGCTTCTCTATTATGGACTGGATAGCCAGCTCCTTCAAGAATTCGTTCTTGTCATCTGTCTCTGCCCCGTCTGTCGGTGGAAAACAAAAAAGCCGAATTGAAAACGACGGACACCCAAAGACGGCCGACGAGCGCTGTCTTTGTGCTACAAAGAAGCAAACTTTGAGCACATGGGAAAAGGTCGTTTGGAAGGCTTGAGTGACAATCAGTGCCGTGGCCTGCACTTTCAGTTGCAGGATAACGGACAATATTTCTCATTGTGCATGGAGAGTTTGCCAAGCGGAGGCTTGATAGCAACATTCAATACCAAATTTTCTAGAAAACACTTCAAAGGGTAGGGGTTTAGCTTTAAGCATGGGCACAGACTCTGGACATCTTTTTGTATCCTTGGCCACTGACAAAAAACACTTTTCAGAGCAAAGTTATTGCCGTATTTTCCTCCTTTGGCATTGCAGCTATCTTTTTCACCTACAATATTTGGGACTCTGACCTTTCAACTCCTTGACAGCCACCACGGTGACCCCTTCTCGACCTCTGACCCCTCTGGCAAATCCCTTGTACACTTTCCCAAACTGACCCTCGCCCAAGGGCTTCTCTCTATCCACTGTCAGATTGGCGCGATCTAACTCCAAGGACTTGTTCCACAAATTGACATACACATCTGCTGATTGCACCGTCTGAAACACACATCAATGAGCACATTAGCATATGCACAGGCAGTCACGAAAGGTACTCTCGCGATAATGGAGTGGCTCCTGCCAAAAAGTATCAAATTTTGGAGGGCTAAGTCCACCAGCCACCATTTAGGGCAGATTTGAGCCACGAATGTTGTCAACCAATGTGTTTTGTGCATGGGTTACCAAGGGAAAAAGTGTTGGACTGATAGGTGTCGTCCAACTTTCCCCCAGTAAACCACTGGCCGATTTTGCCTGGCATCCTGCATGTAGACTGCCAGGAAAAACTGACCTAAACTGGTCGACATATGGGAGCTAATCGAATATGGCCAAGCTAGCAGCCCCTTGTCTTGCACAGCCCAAATGCTATAGACAAAGGCGTATCCAGAAGTCCCATGGGGGTGCAATATTGCTTTTTGAGGCCCAAAAAGTAACTTTTTTATAGCATTTCTGATGAGATGGTACGTATTGGAGCATTTTACGCGCTTTGAAGCTTTTTGTAGACCTTCATCCAAGCAACAAAAACCAGCTTAAAGACAAAATGGTGGACTAACCAGTCGTTTCCGCTTGAGCGTCAACTGAGCAGCGTAGGACTTTCTGCGTCTGAGCGTACGAGGCTCTACAGCTGGACTGTCGTCGGCATTGAGTTTGTCCTGCTCCTGTCGGGTATTAAACGAAAAGGAATGAACCTGCCGCAAAGATCATCGATTCCCTTGATTATCAAAAATAAAATATTCACTGTTTGGCAGCAAAGGTCATTATGCTGATCGAAATAAAAGTTGAACTATTGAAAAGATGAGGTTCGTTCATCGTTTTAGTCCTTAAAGAAGCGACAAAGGAAATAACATTTTTGCAGAGAATACTGCTTAAAATTGCGTCTGTAATATGAGGTTAGTTGAAGCATTTGAGATTTTTTCAGTACAGGTTATTTGTATCTGTCATGAAGTCGGTTTCTTACATTCTGGATCGCGACTTCGTAGTCTTCGTCTCCCTTCGACATCTCGTACATGAGAGACAGGTAGTTCTCCATGACAAGTTGCACGAAATCCTGAAAGAAAGATATGATAATTGCTACCACTGCGAGAATCCAAAAACATGTAGCTGCTTACGGATTGCTCACAATCATAGATTATTCAATTTGAACCTTGATTAGGCCCTATTCAGTGGAATTCTATTTCAATTGATTTTTTAGCTGAACATTTCTTGAAAGTGTCATCCATATATTTTGCAAATTTGTATGGCTGTTAGTATTCGGAAAAAAACCTGAGGAAAACGATATCAATAATAATAATAATAATAATAGTAATAAATAATTACAACAATTTTTATGTATATAGCGCTTTTCATAACAGGAATTATATCAAATAAAATATTAGTATTAAAAATATATAATATATATAAACAAACAATATAATATAAACAAACCAAACTAGAAAAGTCAAGATAATTTTTCAAAAAAAGTAAGCTTTCAGTTGTCTTTAAAAGGTATCAAGACAGGGTTCAGAGTGCAAAGAGACCGGAAGAGAATTCCATAAGAGGGGAGCACTACTAGATAAGGCCTCGTCACCAGCCTTCGTTTTGCTTCTCTTAACTTGCAGAAGGTTAAGCATAGGTGCACCTTCACTCTGAGCAAATAAAGAACAAACTAGTCATATGCCATTTAATCCTCATACAAAGTACCAGTCTTTTTGGATTTTTAAACAGACGATAATTAATAACGCATTCACAAGACCGGTTGCGTGAGAAAGATATCCTACCGAATCCGTGGGCTTTGGTGTAGTTGGTGAAGCAGAGGCATGATGTGGCATAGAGGGACCTCTGTCAAGCTCATCTGAGTTGGGTGACTGTTGCAACAAAAACGAAAGAATGAAGTTTCTTCTCAAAGTAAAGATATTCCACTACTTCGTTACAAAACTACCCAATTCCAAAAAGAATTGTTTCTACCCTTCTTTCAGCTGGTGTACGTGGGTTCTTCTCTGTCAGATTCCTGATCTGATAAAACTTTGGAAATGGCCACTTGTATATCGGTAAAATGTCAGCCAAATTGGATAAAAGGAATCATATTTAGCAAATTGCAGTTTGTTACGTTAGCACGTTCAGCATGGCAAAAACTCCAAGAACAGGATCAGGCTGATGAAAAAGTTCAAATGAGGAGAAAATTGACTGACCTTGGCTGTGCTATCTCGGGCCCTTCTGATGGCCATGTCCATGACCTTTTGATCGACAGAAGGCTTCTAAAACGCCAAGGAGACAAAAAGCAATTAATTAACAAGCCAAACAGCTGTTGAGTTAATGGCCTCGATCGTTCGGATAACTTGGCTGCGGCTTGAAATTACGCGTGAGTCTATGGTGGTGGCTACAGCCAGTTCCCAGAAAGTCCAGCAAAATTTCAAGCCAGAGGCAAATGATTCAGACGCGGACCAACTCTGGCCAAGAGGTCATCTCCAGAGAAATAACAATGAAAAGTGTAAGAGTATTAAACTTGGCTCCAAACACTTATATCTGTGTAGAGTAACCTAAAGTAATCAGTAATGTTGTTATTGCTCAAATAATAAAATGACAATGACAAGTGACAAAATGGTATTTGCAAATCACGAACAACTGATAAGATAATTAAATTTGTCGACCCTTTCCGAACGCGCATTGGGGCGACAAATTTCGCGCATTGTGATTGGCCAACGCGTTGCAATCTCTTGGTGGCGCACTTTTGTGAATCGCCCGTAACGGTGGAATTTTCTATCGTGTCTGTCAAAAAGAGTATCCCTCCTATTGAATATGTATCATCAGCACACGTGGCTACGCTTTCAAGAGTCCAACCACAATGCCGCGGTAGAGCTTGTGAGACCATTGTTCCAATAGCAATGAACAAAAATCAAAACTGCTCCAATAAAAAAGAAGTGGGAAGATTTGCAGAGGTTTAGGGATTAGACACTGCCAAAGCTGAGAATACACAGTGACTTTACCTTCTGTGAAGATGATGGACTTCTCAACGCGTTTAGTTTTACATCCGGCTGAAAAACAAAGTCAAACGCTCATAAAGAGGTCGGGAAGTAACTTTACTTTTAGTTCTGAAAGTTTTTGTGGCTTACTTCCTTTTTAAAGCTGTTTCGGGGAGATATTTAGGCTCTTTTTGACAGTTCATAAGTAAACAATGATTTCGTTTTGATTGACTGCCACTTGTACCTCAGAAATCTAGGATGTCATTAATTTCACGAAGGGAACACTTTTGAGTCAAATATTTGTATAACATTAAAACTTGCCTGACAACACTAAATCAAAGTTGCTATCATGGTCTAGAAATACGTGATCTAAATTAACTGCGACTCAGCTTTGAAAAACAGAGCCAGTCTTTCGAGTGGAACGCCGTAAAGAGAATCTTCACCAAGGAAATCAATGGGAACCATCAACATTTCTCTCCCGTAAGTGGTTCATTTTCGTTGGGATGCGAAATGGGTGATGCATCAAACCAGGAACAAAATTACCACCAGCTTGGTCTGATTTTGTTCGATGATGTCACAATTTCGTTTGCCCTAAGTTATATAATGACACATTTGGTCACAACTTCGCGTAGAGAAAGTTTCCAATAGTAAACAGTTGAATTGATTCGATAAAGTGGAACTGTATATGCATCGAGGTTAAAAGAAAAACAGCAGGTTTGAAACTGCAGTAAAATATCAGTAGTATTCATCTGTTGCATGTAAACTCACAAAGTTTGATATGTTGGACTCCTCGGAGTCAGCTTGAGGCTTGTAAAGTGAAAGTGACGGGGGTTTTGCCTTCAGCGCTGGCTTGGACGTCTAATATTGAACGACACAAAAAAATTCATCCACTCTCGAGCATTCTCTGGAGATAACGTTTAGGAGCAAAGTATCATACAGATGCTTTCTCTTCATTCCAAGTGATCCTACAAATAGGATCTTTGAAAAGTTTAACTGCAGATAAGTGTCATGCTCGGACGAATAATGAGTTATGGCTCAAAGTCATTTGCGTGTTTTGAAATGGAAACCGAATTATGGACGTGGCACATATCTTATCATCAACAAAATCTGCTTTGTCTTATTCAAGCACTGAGAACGACTACACTTCGGGCTTTTTAATTATCTGCGATTAATTTTGTGATTAAATATCACAATGCATGGTGAATAGATGGACTAATCCGGACAGTCCCTCGGTGACAGAGGGCGCTATGAATAATCGAACAAACAAAACAAAAACGACAAGAGAGGAGAGGAATGCAATCAGTAAATTGAGTACGGGGGCCCCGCAGGGACCTAAATATTCACGACTAATCTTGAATATTTTTGCAACGTTGTGAATTATGTCCCTCGAAGGCTATCATAACTAAATCTTACACTTGAAGTACTTCGGCTGCTCCAGTCTTCATTATCTTTTTCTTTTTTCTAAGGAAATAAGAAAGTGATCAAACAATATTTATTCCAAACGTTTTCAAATATAAACCAATAAAGGAACAATTGTGTTTGTGTTTTTTTACATTAATTTAACAACCACCGGAGGTTTAGTTGCTGTAATAAAAATCTTCCGGTTTTACGCAGGCGTTGTCATCCGCCAATCAGCAGACTTACACGAGTACCGGGGTCAGACTTGCTCAATTTCAGCGGCTTCGAGGGCAGCTGAGGTCGAGGTGGGCGATTTGCCTATAGAAAAAATGGTTAAGTTCCTCGTTTTATTTTCAGGTTGCATGCAAAGATGTTCCTATTGAAAAGAACCTGTCAGTTTCGAATGGATTGGAGTTAATGTCTGCTCTGAATAAAACTTGAAGTGGGTATTTTATCATGTACATACAAACAGCCAAAGACTGAGATTTTTGCTCTTTGGCCTGTTCTATCTGAAAGATGGACCCCAGGAAATTCCAGTTCGCAAATCTAACGATTCCTGCGAACTTAGGACAGGTGGCTGCCAATATCACGTGACAAAATGGGAACTCATCATTGATAAAAAAAATAATATATTCAATTTTCCGATGATGTTTCGTGAACATTCGGGCATAAAGTAGATTTTATTTCAACAACATGCCTGTTGGCGTCAGTGGTGGGTAGCAGCATATAGGATGATTGCAAAGCCAACAGATTTGCATGTTCAGTATGCCAGGACTGTAGAAAGATAACTTGAAATGGAACTTATTACCTCTTCATTTTCATCGTCGGCTTTCTCCGAATCTCTCCGAGGTTTGGGCGGAAGCTGCGGCTGACAACAGAAAAGGAAGATCCGAATCTTAATGCCAAGGATAATTTTTCCACCATTACGAATACCGAGCCACGGGGCAGAATCTGCCAAAGCCACCAATAGCCCATTTTAGACCCTATTACATCTCCTCTTTTGACAGGGGCGGATCTAAAACCAGACAGAAGGTGGAGGGGTCACTTTTTATTTCATAAAATAATCGGCACAGTTCGAATAAATCCCGAAATTAAGGTTGATGAAACAATAAGTCACATGAGCCGTGTTGGTTTCAATCATCATAAAAATACAAGTCAATATTCTGAAGCCACGTTTTTGCTCATCGACCAAAATTCACACCAACACGAGAGAGAGATTTTAATTTGCCCTCAAATTACAATTTTTCAGTTTGCTGCATTGGAATGTTAAAGAGCGCATACCTTGTGGTCTGGCATCCTGGGACTACTCTGCAAACTAAGCGTGTCTTCATAACGAGGCACTTCGTGGCTTCTTTCGACTGGTCTCGCGTCGAATACTGAGGCAGGGCCGCTGGGAGGTTGATCCGGATCAGACCGTTGACCAGGATCGGTGTCCATACTTAAGGGTGGCTTTGGACTCCGTCTGGGAGGGGGCTCTGGTTTATCATCCTCATCCGAATCTGGATTAGTCATTTCAGAGGGGTTGGTAGGGTGGGGCTTGGGCTTAGGATAGTGGTCCCTGCGTGTGTCCCTAATCGAGGTACTATAAATGGAAACGGGTACTTCAGAGGGACATATTTCAGAATCCGTGTCAGATTTCGAGTTAGAAACGGATCGGAGTTCCGGCTTGTCTGGCAGCTGCGGCTTCGCAGCGGGCGGCAAGTAAGGCGAGTCGAACTCGGGATCACATTCGGGATCGGAATCCGTTGAGATTTGATCAGGTGCGGGGTTCGAGGGCAACGGGCTCGAGGAGGCGGGAGGGGACTGGATGGGCTGGTCTGGATTCGGGTCAGTTGATGCCACATCGGAGTCGGGATCGGAATCCACAGGAATATCGGGAGCATTGTAGAGAGGCATGTCCACCGACGGGGCCCGGTTCCTCAGAGCTTCTGGACCCCAAGTGCCCTGGGATGGAGAGAAGTGGTATCCAAAATGAAGAGAGTAGAGAGAAGGAAATTCAGGAAACACTCGGGAAAAGAGCTCATTCTTAGAGTGATTATGAAAGTTCAGGTAAGAGATAATGAGCCAGTCCAGTATTCCAACATCCAGCCGGGCCATAAGCCGAGTGGGACGCGTGCTTTATTCTCGAACGACTTTGCCTTTTGAAATACCTAAATGGGTCATTCGTTCTTTTGATCAATTACAAAGGATATTAGTAGCAAATACTGCTTGAAAATCACTTTTGAATACGATACTAAGTAAAATTTCATCACGCAAAGGTTAGATTTGATATGCCTAACGAGGAAGGAATTCCTTCCTCCATGATAATGTGCTCAATGGAGGCCTACGAATTCTTTTGAAGAATACAAGATAGACTTGGACAGAAAATTGACATTTGAGGACAGAAATAGATATCCATCCACAATTCGAACCACAATACCTCATCCTCCTCTGTCTTTAGCAGGATGAATGCAGGTGCAGCGACTGGCACAGAGTCTACGGAAGCTTCAGCATCTACGGCTGTCTCGTGTCTACTCACAGGATCTACTAGGCACTTGGAATAGCCCGCGAGGTCATCGGACTCTTCCATTTCATCGGTGGTCTCCCCTGAGGGGACACCTGCGAGAAAGAAGCGTGTCTGCAACTCCTCGCTTTTGAGCGGGCTCAGCCGGCGGATCAGCGACTGACAGACGCGGACACAGCGGAACGAAACAAACACAGACAGTGGCAGTTTGAGTGGAAGGTTTTCTACTTCGAAGAAGTGAGCTCTTAATTAAAGAAGGCAACATATTAGAGTAAATTCCCACTGCAGGCGGTACCTATCAGGTCATTTTGCAAACAAAGGAGCCGCTATTAAGTTGGGGGAGCGGGTTAGCGTTGCGGTTCTTTCCTCGGTTTGCACCAATGAGGCCCGGGTTCGAGTCCCGTCTTGGCCCAGGCTTTAAGTGCATTTGGTTTCCAGTCCATACTCGCTCTCGCAGGTTTTTCCGGGTACTCCGGTTTCCTCCTGCCTCTAAAACTGGACTTTCTTCCTAACGCCGTGATGTGATGCTGATTAATAAAGTCTATGAATAAACGTACAACTATTGGCGCAAATAGGCCTAGCCTGAGTTACTGAAAGCGCCATTAAAACAAAACAACAACAACGCTATTAAGTTACATCTGGCGTAGTTTGACTTCAAGTACCTCATCACCCATTTGTAATTAGCAAGCCAAAGTTTAAAAAAAGTGGCGGACTTTGAGACGCGTGATGGCGGCAGACACATCAGTCCCATGTAAACGGTTGGCTTTTGTTTTTGTCAACTCTTGAGCCCCGTGGGACTGGTATGTGCGCCGCCACTGAGTGTCTCAAAAATCTCCCGTTTCGGCACAAGCATGAGGTCAGCGCAGTTGAAGTGGTTATGCCACTCTTTACATGTACTCGAGTAGGCCTATGCACTCTTTGGCGAGACCAACAGACACCTGACCTCAGTTGCCGACGTCAGCCTGGCGAAGGTGCATGAGCCTAGGGTCTGTGCCCATTCATCAGCAACAAAATAATCCTTTGTCCTGGCTGTCAAACGGGCACAGATTTTAAGAGCTTGGGCATCATTGCATATTCTGCATCTCTACTGCCAACGGCGCAAGCCAAAACAGAAAATGCCATAGAAGAAATTTTAAGTGAAAAGTATGCACACAAAGCTCGGGTTAAAGTTAAGATTCTTGGTTTTTTCTGCTTTTTGACTCAGTCCCAAAGTTGTTTCGTTTGGTGTCAATACATAAACTATCATTTATACCGACAGCTTAACTGCTGAATTACTTGGTTGAATATTGCCCAATCTGTTTATCTTTTATCCTCGTGACTCCACAGGAGAACATTTCAGACCCATTTGGAATTCATTTTGAATAAGAATTTTCCAGAGTTTTGCTTGAGTGTCATAACTGGACAATAGTGATACCGACTAGTCATTATCATAATTCTCAACCCAAAGTCTTGGCATCTATTGCATGGTGGGTGCTTTCCTCCCGAAACGTAATTTTAAAGTTGGAACAAATTAAACCACTTATCTGAAATCCATGTGAAAAAGAAATGCGAAGAATACGATTTTGAATGAGGTTGTTTTTGAATGTTTGAGTTTTGAATGTGTTGACCCACCGGTCCATTTCTTATACAAGCCGATGTCTGCACTGTAAGAAGCATTCGTTGTAATTGGTTGGCAAAAAAGAGCACAAACGGAGAAAAATAATGGAAAAATGGAAGCGTAGGGGCTAGAAGCATTCTCGGGTTTGACGAAAATGAATCTCGTGGGAGCAAGCAAGCTTCTGATTAGGCAGCATATTAACGAGCGGTAAGCGCCACCCAACAGCCGATCTTGCTTACTGGGTCTTCGAGGATATACTGGTTGGGCTGGCTCGGCCGCTTAGCAAATGGATCCCTGCGGGTGGCATTTGGGATGCCGTCTGTTTCCATGCCGTCTGTTTCTTCGTGTACGGAGACGTTTGTGTCACCTCGGCTGTTACTCTGAGACAGCGAAGTGTAAACGGTGGAGCCATAAGTCCACCGACTAGTGACGAGAAGCCATCGTCACTGTGGTAGCAATTCGGGCGATTCACAGTCGTGCGCCACCAAGAGTTTGCATTACGTTGGCCAATAACGCGCGAAATTTGTCGACCCTTTCCAAACGCGCATTGGATCGACAAATTCTGCACATTGTGACTGCATGGCCAATGAGTTGCAAACTCTTGGTGGCGCACTACTGTGAAACGGCCATATTCGCGATCATCATTGGAACAACCCATATTAGAGTCAGATCGGTCGTTAAAGTCACCACTGTCATTGCTCACATGCTGTCATCGTCATGTTTCTGATCTCGTCGTCGTCGTCTTCACAACCTCCCCAAAGGTCATCAGTCGTGCAAGAATAAACATAGTGATTACTATACTTTCAGTGTCAAAATCGTCACCACAGTCCCCGTCATAACCACCACTGTCGCTCTCATGGACTTCTGCTCAATCTTTGCTAACATTGGCTTAAACAGCACCGATCATTTCCGACCTTGATTATAGACGGTTTCCAAAGTGAAGAATCGGCATAAGGTCCACTTTAAACCACAGAACAAAAATGCTATCATTGGCAAGAATATATGTCATTGTTTCCTTGTAGTTCTCTTCTAGTCATCAAAATAATTTATCTGTCCACCTGACAAGGAGATAAATCATCGGCAATTACTATTTACGAAGAGGCTCTCTCTTAAGTAGCAGTCAATGATTCGTTGATTCTGGAGTTCCCCATGTTTACAAACATTAGTCTTACCTCGATTTCTGCCTGAAATCCGTCGTTTCTTGTGCCAGCATCAGGCTGAAACGATATGATGTACAAAATACTTCACTGAATAAGACCTCCCTGCAATGTTCCGGTTAAAACAGGAAAACAATCGTTCCAACGTTTCCCTTTAAAAACTTTGAAAAAAAAATCACTGAAAATATCCCACTTTGCCTTATTATACATCTTCAACTCACAAACATTTCCATTTTCTAATCTTCGAAACAACAACAAATATATCGAATCTTACCGAAACTGTAATTTCGTAGTCGTTCTCCTTATCATCTCTATGTCCTCGTCTGAATGGCATGTGGACGCTGGACAACTGTGGTAACAAAAAATGCAGGAACTTGTTTTTCAACCGGGCTAAAAACCACCGCAAGACGCACTTCAATAAGGATGGACTTCATTGGAAACTCAGTGAAATTAGGGTTTTGGTTCGACGTCTACTCCAGTATAGACTTTCTAGAGTTTCTAGGTCTAGAGTTTAAGCCAAGCAGGCATAATTTAGTTCTGTCCACAAGGCACAAGGTATGCAGTTTACACAAAGACGAAATGCACTTTGGTGTAGACTTACACAAAATGCTTTCAAGTGTGGGTCTAATGTATACTCTGTCAACTGCGAAGATTATCGCGGGGAATGTATCCTTACCCTGTTGGAAAGATCTTCGTAAATGTGTGCAAGACTCTTCCGTGGTCGGGACAAATAGTCCGACTGCTGTACACCATCGGATAGGTTACTTTGGCGACGCTGCAATGATAAAAATATGTGGTTAGGGGTGCTTGTTCATTTAGCCAATCCAAATTATTTAATCTAGTGAAAATCAGCTCAATTTGTTCGTCATTACTTGTTGTTTAATTACTTTTGATTGTTCGAGTGATTGAGTGTTTCTTTTATCGCCCGCCTTTGACAAGCTCATGCATATTACAGCTTGGTTAGTTGCTTCTTTACTGATATTTCTTTTTTTCCGTATTCATAATTTTGTTCACTTCCTTTATTTTGCATGCTGTATGAACTGAATTTCGTTTATGGCTGGATATAAATAATTGTTTATACAAGGAACAAGGAACAGTCCAACCCAACCAGACCCGACTTGACTGAGCCAACCCAAGTCAACCCACGCCACGCCATGCCACGCCACACAGCTCACCACCCCTATTTTAACCCCCCCCAAAATTTAAACGATATATCGTAATTCGACAGCCACTCACCAGCAGAGTTAAAAGCCATTACAGCGGCGGCACAACGCTCGTGGACAGGTGGTACGCGCGCGTTACTAGCCCCTACCCAATAGGGTGGCGTGATTTGCCAAATGCACGCGCGCGTCAAGGTGAAGAATGTGCGTGTGAGTGCGGTACGCATTCATTGCAAGTAAATGTAATCAGATTTGGGGTGCTTTTTCACATGCGCGTCAACACTTGCTCCAATCGTTGCGTATCCATCCAAATCGCTCTGGGGGGAGATTTTGACGGTCCAACGCAAGGTCCACGTGTGCTGTGTTAATGTGGTCTATTTTCATGTCCGTGAAAGTGAAACGCCGCACGAACGCATCGTGTACGAAAGGCGCCTTTATCGGTATGGCATCCTTACCTTGAAACACTTCCAGCATAAAAACAGCAGAAGGACCACGATCAGAACAGACAACAGGACTGGAAGTGCAATTATGTAAGGCTCAACACCGTCAGACCCTGTCATGAAAATTGTCAACATTCACAAAAATTAATCATCCGCACATCACCTATAGAACGCAGCTCTAGAATACAAAACCAAATCTATCTTGCTCGTCAACTGTCAGTCAGGAAGGACGACCAAGGAGAACGTTCAGAAAAGCTAAAGGGATTAATTTTTTACCCCACGACTTTAAATGTTTGCAACTTCAGCATTTGGTGGTACCCATGTCGTGGCAAATGTCGTTTCCCATGGACTCTTTCGTATGTAAACTATAAATGAAAGGGGTTTTAGGCGTGACGTGTTTGGTGGGTCACACAGATAACAGGATTAAGAATTAACGAGTGGCGCAAGAGAAACCCCACCAATCTACATCACTCCCCGTGCAAAGCTTGAATCCTCATACATGCCAACTCTTACAAGATTCCCGCTGGTGAGCGTCACTGGACTCACACTACTCCTTATGAAAAGCATACAACGACGACAACATCATCAACGACCATCAGCGACTGGAAAAGGCAGCGGCGAGGTGAGTGAGGAAAAGAGAATTGATTCTACCCAAAAAGTAGATATTAGACGCACATTACTGAAACTGCAAGCCTCAAGTGGGGCCAAGAGAGGGTGCAATGTTCCTAGCAACGCAGCCTCCTGTGAGAACGGTGTTGCATTACGTCGCGTCGAGTCACAACCAACTAAAGAATATTCCCAGCATCACTGCTCTTTTCAACGGATGAGGAAGTGCTCAAAGCAGATGAGCGGATGAGACTAGGGATCGATAAAATAGATTGCTAAATGAAGGTTAACATACCTTCCACTTTACAGTTGATCAGACCGGCTCCGCCCTCTTCAATATCTTTGTTCAGCTCGCGGCAGTCTATGTAATTCTCGTCGAGGTGCTCGGTTACCCCGTTCAACTTCCCCGCAGCGCACAGATGCAGGTCCGCCGTCGTGTTGTTGCACACTGCCATTTCGACCCAAATGCGTGCCTGTAAGTGGAGGCTCCGCCCCTCCCACAAGTCCTCGGGCCCGAGGCCTGTTGACACGTTGCCAATGTTCAGTGCACCGCCTCTACCGTTAAGGCTGAGAACGAGAAAGACGATGCTAATGTTCCCAGTGGGGTCGCTCGGGGGAACGGGGCCTTCGGACTTCAGGTTAGCCCTGAATGTCACGTCAGTGTATCCATCAACCTGGTACTGCGCAGGGTTGATCTCTTCAACCCTAAAATTCCACAGCTTGATAACTGCGTATAAAACACAAACAGACGAGCTCATACATTTTCATCGAGCGATCAAGTTATGATCACATAACCTATATGTCGGTCAACGCCGATGTTATGGACATATCCAAAAGGCGCCCTCTTCACTGCAGTGAATATAAACGTCCAACGTCTTTCGAAGGATCTGGCTCTGGGAATCAAGACTCGAGGGCAAGATGGCACCCAAACTGTAGCGAATGTCTCCTCTCAAAACTAACTACGGTATAGGAAAATAGACCATCATCAGGAAGTCGTTTCATTCAACCCTTTAACAGCAAGCACGCAGCTGTTGTTAAAAGCTAGTTATAAAGCGTCATGTGCCAATACAATATCTAGGGCAACACTTTCAAAGGTCGTATAGTCCCAGGCCGCTCTCTACATGCAAAAAGATTGAGAAAAAACCCCAATCTCACAAAGAGTGGGTCACTTGTAAACCTTTCCAAAAGAATGAAAACCTCTTTAAAAAGAGTGAAAACCACTTCCAAAGAGTGAAAGTCCCACTCTGCTAAGGAGTCATATAAAGGGTAATTCAAAAAGGAGTTGTCAAGTATGGCTCCTGAATTTTAGAGTGATTTTCATACATTTAGAGTCTATGGATTTATGAGGGACTCATTTTTTTGAGCGAAGTGAGTTTTGCCTTTAGAGAGTAGACTCTTTTTTCAAAGGCAGTGAACGATAAAAACCAGAATTACAATCGTCATTAATACGGAAACATAAGTAGCTCAAGTTTTTCTTTTTCTGTCACAGTACGTCGTATCATCTTCCAACTCTTTTGGGAAAAAATTCAGTAGAGTTTTTGTCAGGTTAGCACGGTGTATCGTGTTTACAGAGACAAGTCAAAAGGTACTTGAATATTCTGTGCAGTCGGTTGAGTTCCCCTGATCCATTTCTCACGCATATTTCCGTACCATTAAGCCCAATTTTGTCCAGCAGTAATAATTATAAACATCTCATTATGCCCTGTGACACAACTTGGAGGAAAAGATCATCTCATAATGTGAGTAAACGAGCCCTTCGTCTGATTGAGAATGCTAAATTTCCTCAGACATGCCGCTCAGATGTGGGTGAGCAAATTTCATACGGCTGGACAGGTCTTATTTAACAATGCTACAGCATATAACGACCTAGTTTTCCATAAACGCGGCTATGACGCGCATATAAAAGCGACAATTCACGTCATTTTTTAGCCGCCTTGCTTTGAACACTACAGTTTTAAACACTTTACTGCATGTGATAATGTCCAGTGACCTCGATTTATTTAGGACATTAGATTGTTGACTAGGTCATGCCGCAATTTAGTATTCTTTAGCCGACAGGCCAATTCAAGGACGACCCATTCAAGTTTTTCTTTCTTTTTTGAGGGGGGGATATACAATCGAATGATTACCCCGCAGTTTCCCGGGCCAGAACCAAGCACCACGTCTACCCAGCACATAGCTGGGACGAAAATGCCCTTGGCCAGCGTAAGCTGCTCTGTCAAAATGGTACCAGGAACTGCCTTATCGCGACGCTGCAAACTTTTAGTCAGCAAAAGCAGGCCGCGCAAGACTGAAATAGGCCTACAGCGCGATGTCTCTGTCTGGCATGTGGCAAATTCTCCTCGTATCTTGATGATGTCGCAAAGAAATGATTTCGCCTTGTCTCACAGCTGAACCACGCCCGGGGCTCTCCACGCACGTAAGGCAAGGCCGTATTGGAACCGCTTGCCTTAGAAATGCTTTGGCCTAGATGGAGCAATACATGTAGATATCAACAGGAACAAGAACGAAAAAGTCAAGAACGTGAAGAACAAGAGGAAGTGGAGCAAAACGAGAGCAGAATAGTCCAACAATGACAGCAAAGCAATAAAGCAGACAAGGAACAGGAGAAACAAAGGGAGGATTAGCAAATCAACGACATCCACACAGCGGGTTGTAACAGTTGTTATTTTGTCAGAGTGAAATATGCCCCACCTGCAGCATTGACTTAAGCTCTAGGAAAATCGTCTGCACACTAATTAAAAACTTCAGATTTTCTGTACTCTAAAGTCCAGTTATAATCCTTTGTATATTCTAGTAAGACAGCACACCTTGTTAGAAGACGCAAGCCTTGTCAAAGGTAGGATTCGAATCCCTTAATTTGAGCACCCACCAGGAAAGGACCTTCAAATAAACAGTAGCTTTACATATCGAACAACAAATAATTATTGGAAGCGTACAAAATTGTGGAGGAGCTTAGCTGAAATGCTGAAGTTTCAAACAAGCAAGCCTTTGTTGTCTTTTCCAAGCTTTCTTTGAATATGGAACACTGTATCTCCATTTCTGATCACAAAAGTATGAACGAACAACCGTGTAGGGTTTCAGTAGCAATGACTGCAATGCAATTCTTTGAAGCGTGTCATAGCTTCATCTCCAATCACGTTTTTCGTTCAGGCCGAGTTCCAGTTCAATTTTTTCCTCATTTTACGGCAGAACAGAGACGTATGTTATAAACCATAATGAGTCTACTTCCGTGTGACTTACCAAATTGATTGGCGCTGCAAGCCGGTAACCCCAAGATAGCAGCGAACAGCACGCAGACGATAGGAATTCCGTCTCTTACATTCATCATGAAACTGGTTACCGACGTCACATCTCTTTGGTACCGCCAAAAAAAGTTCTACAAAATCCTCACAGCTTGTACCTAACAGTCACTGGTTGTACCTTCCAAGTAAATTCCAAATACCAAAGTTGACAAATTCACGGGGAGAAACGATCCAACGTTGCAGCCTGTCTTCTACTTCTAGTAATCCAACTTTTCTGTGGTGACGCCATTTTCCCAATTTGTTGATAGAGGCGTGTATAAACAGCTCACTCCCCCGAATGAGTATAGACCTAGTGCCTGCATTCAGCTTTTTTTTACCACTCACATACTTCCTCCTACAGTGAAAAGATCTGTTTAAAATGACTGCGCCATTCCACACAAAAGTAGTATTTTTTTTACTCCCGTCTGCCAGCGATAGCCCTGTGTGGCCCGCAAACCATCGGTGATTCTGCACAAAGACAGAGTCATGCTTCAGCGATTTTCGCATCCAATATACGAGCGCGGGATTTTCCCCAATTTTACTGCGACACAAAGGATCATTTGCATGCCAATGATTTAGTTTCATAGCTGGAGTTTATTCCTTTGTTGAGTCAACACGTTACACTGCTAGATGGAAACGCTCCAAAATCGACAAACAACCCCATTTTTTCAACGAATGCGCTGGGTCAACCCATACGTCAGACATGAACTTTCCTATGCAAGTAAACTTGTAAATATGTCGGCGCTTACGCATTACCATAAAACATTTTGTACTCAAGTAAAGTACATTGAATTCGTACAGAAGTGTTTCTTGAAATGTATTTGAGGCCATTTCCAGAAAGCTAAAACCCTTTCACGTCTGATAAATTAAGATTTGCGAATAACATTTTCTATTTAATAAATCTTGCTGCAAGTTTTATTACAGTATGCTGCCTCCAACTGAACTTGTTATACAAAATGTAACATTCTTCCTGCGCATGCCTGAATGCTCACACGCTCTGAAAGTCAGAGCCGATAGAATGGTAATTTTGTTTCAAAAGTAATCACAATCATAACACGCGATATCCCTACAACAGGTTCCAAATGTGAAAACCAGTGCCAAGTTTTCCTCTGTGTTATAGTTTGGACCACTTTATAAAAACCGCGAGGAACACCCTAATTATATTAACGTCAATACGGGTGATTCACGATAGTGCGCCTCCAAAAGTTAGCAACGCGTTGACCAATCACAACGCGCGAAATTTGTCGACCTAATGCGCGTTTGGAAAGGGTCAACAGATTTCGCGCACTGTAATTGATCAACGTGTTGCAAATTCTTGGAGACGCACTAGAGTGAATTATCTATATCATGAGCGATATGCTAATTTAAATTTACCTTACCAGTAAGGACATGCACACAAATATGTGGAGATGAAACATTTTTGGCTCACTTATTTAACATTTGATATTTATTTTCTAAAAGCATTTCAGGAGTTTTGCATCTTACATTTGTTAACCTGATAAGTCAGCTACTAAGAAGAGAGAACTAAGCCTTCTTCATGCGCATGTCTTAACTTGCACGCGCACTTTGGCATGTCACGACACCCTATTGGTGGGAGAGGAATGTAACGCGCGCGCACCACCTGTCGTGCCACCGCAGTAATGGCTTCTAATTCTTCTCGCCGGATTTGTGTATGAGCTCTGAGATGACCAAGAGAGGGCACTGTTTTCTCGACAACAACAGAGGCTCCTTTGATTGGAACTGGAACTAAAGCAGGCCAAGAGGACTCCGCAAACGATGTTGATCCGGTGGTTGTTTTTATTCTGTAATGGGTGCGGGAAAAGGAACAGTACTGGTAAGACGCTTCCTCGAACACGGCTTTCAATAGAATGACTGAGCATAACTTTCCCCTTGCAGCCGCCATCTTGGAATTTTATGACATTTGTGCATTAAGCCTGAAAGCGCCGGGATATTTCGTCCCTTCTCGCGGGGGGGGGGGGTGGATTCCGCTCCCTCAGGAACCCGGCTGTGCCTAGCTCGATATTTTTTAAAACCGGGCATACATGTAGAGACACTCTTTATCATTACATAGGTAGTTTTTTACTTCAATCAGATTTATGGTTTTGTTATAAGTGTCATTTGAAGTTTAAGGCCAAAATGTTGCCGGCCTGGGTGCATTGAACATCGCAGTGGAAAAACGTATACATTTTTGGTTGCCTGGTCTCCGACAATAATTGCGCGCTGCACAAGAACTGTACGTCGGATTTTAGATAAAAGAATCGCCTGTCTTGTATCATAAAAACAAGCTGTAAACCCTTTAAAGTAACAAACGCATTATGTAGATAATGAAGCGAAAGCAGAACTCTCTACGTCAGGTGTGCCCGATTCCTCATGAGGGTCTGATGAGGCCCAACGTTGATTCGGACCCACAGGATTTTACTTGTGGAAGAATGTCAAGTTTGCATAGAGACGGTGGGGAAGTCGTTGCCGGTGGGTTGGGGCGAGACGCCTCCTGCCGGTGGACCTGCAGAAGAAGGCTTTGTCGGGAGCAGGTCGTAATGAGCCGGAGGATGGGCAGAGTCACCATCCTGTCGAAGAGGGGCGCTCTTGCAGCACGACGGGAAGCCGGAACTGGCTGCGGAGAGACAGAACGAAACAATTACTGACAGAACAAACACGGCAGTGCCTTCAGTGACATTCTTAAGGTTGTTCGCGAATGAACAAAAAGTTCTGATACGAAGAAATATATAAACCACTGTTTCAAAGCGTAGGCGAGGTAAAAATCTGAATGGAATTTTTGGCAATTCTTATTTCGCCTATATTTTGCATTCACCTCGGAAATTCTCCCCTTCCTGGATTGTATTGGGCAGGTTGCGGCCTAGAGTCTCCGGCAGCATCGAAGAGAGAACCCCGGCAATGACGGAGCCAGCACCGAAGACAAAGAGCGGGAGGGGCTCCCAATGCTTGCCCAGAAGGAGGATGATGGGACAGAGGATACCACTGACCCGGGCCACCATGGAGGACGAACCCACGCCCATGGTCCGGATAACCGTCGGGTACAGCTCACAGGCGTATACGTAGATGTGGTTGAAGGCCGCCGCGATGGCAAATTTGCCTACCATGGCAACCCCGGCCCTCCAGGCTCCGAGGGGAAGAAAGATGGTGACGAGGCAGGCCAGTCCACCGGAGATGTAAAAGGCAACTAGGGTCAAACGTCTGCCGACACGCTCCATCAAGTACACGCACAAGATGAGGCTTGGTATTTCCACGGCACCAGACACGAGGGCGGCCAGGTAATCGTCTATACCCAGGGCGGACGTGCTCAGAGACAATCCATAATACACCATGTTAGCGACGAACCAATCGTACCACATAATCAGAGTAATCTTCCGGATGTTGGGTGTTCGGACGAGGTCAAGCTGGGTGGTGGACTGTCGTTGCTGGCCGACGACGGGTTTTCTTTCAGAGCTCTCGAAGGTGGTGTCCCCAACGCTGGATCCATTGATGTGGGAGATCTTTCTCAGCACGACGATCGCGTCAGTAAACCTGTTCTTCGACATGAGCCAACGCGGGGACTCAGGTAGAACAAAGAGCAGAGGGAAACACAGGACAAACTGAAGAGATATTGCCAACTGTAGGTGACGCCAGTCTCTGAGAAGGAACGCTATCAAAGTCAAGAGCATGTAACCAACTCCGAAGAAGAGATTGAACATGGTGCCGACGAAGACACGCCTCTTTGGGCCGACGATCTCTGACGTGAGGACAAAGAGCATGAGGAACGCGCCGTACGCAGAAGCTGTCACAGTGACAGTTAAGATAACGAAAGCTGCAAAGTTTGGACTGAAAGCTAACGAAATGGCCGAAACGGTAGTCAGAAGAAAAGAGAGGATGAAGGTCTTCCTTCTCCCGAACCAGTCACCCACTGAGCCCCAACCCAGGGACCCAAGGAGTACGCCGACAAACCAGAAGGACTGAGCAATCCCGGGGTAATCCGCCCTGGCACACACCAGGCTGAAGTCCTCAATGATGGTCAGTTGGTAGCGTGATCGGTCGAACTCCCACCCGGCGTCGCAGGGGATGACGTCGGTGGCGTTTAGGTCCCAGCCGCTGCCGGGGTCTTTGTCATCAGTCGTCGCGTACCGCTCGCACGAGGAGTAAATCCGGTTGCCGTCTCCGTCCAGTCGGTACGGAATACTCTGGTTCTTTTGCGCCTCCTGACACTCACGAAGCGAGTCCAGCTGGAGCCCACTGCAATTCAGGGCGTGTTCCTCCGGTACCACGCACCAATGGTCCGTCTTTGCGGCAAAAAATACCTGGGCGATGAACTGACACGCAACGGGTAACTGGGAGAGAACCAGGACAGACATAAGACGTTTCTGGTACTTGCCAAAACCGCCGATGCGGCGAAGAATGTCGTCGTACTGCATTGTAGCCAGTAGATGAAGTGACTGGACTGACTTGAACCTGATTCTCCTAGCGCTGCTCTTTTTGAATGACCTGGGAGTCTGGCGCTGTTGAAAACCTGGGGTCAAAGCTGGATGTCTTTGTCGATCGTACACGTACCTACATGTTCCATGCAGTCAGCACATGTCACATGCATCAGTAGTACCGTCGCGTACACGCAGGAATACCCGTACATGTAACGGAGAACACGGCGCCGCCGCCGCCGTGACCGTCACCTGACCTCCTAGTGGATTGGAGACAGCCATCTGCCCGTGCTATGCCATGGTGGCACGGTACTGCACGTTCTTGACTATGTACATGTACATGTACATGTATGTACATGTACATGTACATGTACATGTACATGTACATGTATGTACTACATGTACATGTACTGTACGTGATCGAATTCTGGACGTAGCTGCTGTATTGTCCCATTCGCAGGGATCGTGATACACATAACGTACCTCATAATGTATATCTTCCGGACGTTGGAGGGACCGTTCCCGTACGATGGGGGGGGGGGGGGGGACATTTGGGAACAACCTGGGGGGGGGGGGAGGTGTACGAATCGACAAACTAGCTATGAAGAAGAACAGAAAGATGAGATTTCGGAGGAAATTGGGGGTTTGGGAGGTTAAATAAAAACAAATCGTCACTGTCACTCAAAGGTGATGGTAACATTTAGGAAAATGGCTCCATGTTTCATGGGGGGGGTGCTCTTTACCCTAAGATGCCCCTACGGACTGGACCCATAATCCCCGAACTAAGGATTAGGATGGTTTTTCTAATACTTGTTAATTTAATAATAATAATGATATGTAGATTAATAATTATAATAATTTCTATAGCGTCACTTATAATTACAAACAAACCTGCAAACTGAAAAAACCTGACCTGCATGGCTGCACACTACAGCCGATTGTTGTAAAATTGAATTGCAATTATTTCAAGGTCGAACGTTTGTTACGAAGGCTGCTTTTAGTTAAAACAAATTCACCAAGAACCATTTTTATCCAGAACACAANTGTATGTACATGTACATGTACATGTACATGTATGTACATGTACATGTACTGTACGTGATCGAATTCTGCATGTAGCTGCTGTATTGTCCCATTCGCAGGGATCGTGATACACATAACGTACCTCATAATGTATATCTTCCGGACGTTGGAGGGACCGTTCCCGTACGATGGGGGGGGGTGACATTTGGGAACAACCTGGGCGGGAGGAGGTGTACGAATCGACAAACCTATGAAGAAGAACAGAAAGATGAGATTTTGGAGGAAATTGGGGGTTTAGGAGGTTAAATAAAAATAAATCGTCACTGTCACTCAAAGGTGATGGTAACATTTAGGAAAATGGCTCCATGTTTCATGGGGGGGTGCTCTTTACCCTAAGATGCCCTTACGGACTGGACCCATAATCCCCGAACTAAGGATTAGGATGGTTTTTCTAATACTTGTTAATTTAATAATAATAATGATATGTAGATTAATAATTATAATAATTTCTATAGCGTCACTTATAATTACAAATAAACCTGCAAACTGAAAAAACCTGACCTGCATGGCCGCACACTACAGCCGATTGTTGTAAAATTGAATTGCAATTATTTCAAGGTCGAACGTTTGTTACGAAGGCTGCTTTTAGTTAAAACAAATTCACCAAGAACCATTTTTATCCAGAACACATACACGTCAAAGCAGCTATATATGGTCAACGACTGAGCCTCTGTACTCAGTTTTGAAACGAAACTGACTCGGAGTTTTGAAAACACCTTGTAAACTATTCACTTCAGTTAAAACAACTCGTTGCCATAGTTGAGCACTAGTCCCGTTTAACCCCTGGGATTATTGTAGCGGACCAGCCCCACGTCGGCGGGTTGAACGGTGAGAAGGTGACGGAGGAAGGTTTTCTAAAAGCGGACAGGAGCTTGGGGAACACGTGAAAAATAAATGATGTCTAACTCCAGAACCAGAGTTTTATTTATTTAAATATGAAAAAAAGTAGGTGCAGTGTCTTGGCCAGACGGCACCGTAAGTAATAATGCAATGGATGTGATGGTAAAAGGCTCAGGGGCATATAGCCAGGTCGGTCTGAAGGGGGGGGTGTTCCAAGCCGTGAAGGCGTGTGCTTGCAAGCGCAGAACCTCACTGGACACTTTTTTTGGGGGGGGGTTAGGGTCTGGACAACGAACCCCACCCCAGCTATGCTCTTGAGGCTACCACATGACTACCACAGCTAGCTATCAGCTGTCACAGAGTCACCATCTTACAATTTCTCCGATCAGTGATCGTGCGAAATATTTATACGATGGTAATTACTTACCAGGGGTTTCCAGCATTGACACTCTCCCACACTTAGGAGCACGCTCCATGCAAGTTAAGAGAAACAAAATGCAGAGAATACGGTGCTACGTTCGAGACCCCCAAACCAAGAAACCACCTTGAAACTGCGAGCATGGGAAGCGCCGAAGAGTAAAAACGTTATGCAAGCGAAGATTTTGGAAGGATGAGGGCGCCCTTACTCAGGCACGGTTCCCTTAAACGTAAAGTAGGCCCTAAAGTTCAGTCACGTCTTCATGTCAAGTCTGAGTTCAAGTCAAGTTGATTCTTAAAAACATAGTTGTAATTCACTTCAGTATACAACCTCACGCCATAGGCAATCAACAGTCATATTACAGTTAATTATCTCCTGAGACTAAAGCTCATTGTTAAATGTTACAACTTCTTGTTAACACCAGATTTTATTTAAAACACTGTAACTTAGTTTCAACATTAAGTCCATGCTAAGGTTCAAGTCACACAGACTGTTACACGTAGTTTGAAACATGCAATGCCAAGGCTGAGCACATGCTATGTTGATTCTTAGAAAGGAGTAGTGATATCCATTTCAGTGGCAAGTCTGTGCCACTGTTGAGCTTGCGCACGTGACAATCATAACAGAATGCAACACTGTTGTCTTATTATTTCAGTTCGAACACGGAACAGTAACGATCAGTCTGTGCCTGGTCAGATCAAAATAAGACCAAACTAATTCTTATGAAAATGTGTTGCAGTCGACAAAAAAACAGTCATTTTTCCTTAAAGGACTGGCATTTATTTTGGCAAAAGGAAATATCTTGAGATGCCCCGTTTTGCCATATTATAGAAACTGCTTTGAATAAAGTACGTGAAGGTATACACTTTCACCTCACGGATTTGCACCATGGCAAAACAAGGTATATTTGATATGGTTTGTTTCTCCTTGTCGAGGTTCTTTGAGGGAAGGGGTGCTGAATGACGGAAGGGGATATCGGTTAAATATGAGTGAAGCTTCCAAGAGCAAAACTGCAAACAAGAAATGTGTAACATGCAGCTGTAGGGTGTTGCCTGAGCAATAACGATACCACGTACGTGGATCTATTGTTCTTCCAAAGGAAATTACAGGATTTACCTCAAAAATGCTTAAGAAAGCAGGGACTAACTCAGAAAAGAAACTTGTAAAATTTTCTAATCATTCTTAATGGAAAGAGCGCCCCCAAATCACCCATAATATGTCCATATCTCAAAGTCTAAAAATAAAAATCAAGTTACATGATCGTTTTACCTTGAGAGGGCCACGCACATTCAATGCACTTTGATTGACACTGACACCTGTGGCACTGGCATGGCAGCCAAGGGCAGCTATTTCCGCATGCATGACGTCATGGTTTGTCCAGCACTCAACGGATTGAGTTCTTTCGAGAAAAGTTATCAACACTTCCATGTAGAATTTATGCTCCAACTATAGCGCCACGGTCCCAACTGCAGCTTGCAGGTTGACTTGCCAAAGCTCTGCAAAGTATTTCCAATTGCATGGCAAAATCGGTCAAAAATTTGTCTGTTGGTCGTTTCATGCATGACACCATAACCAGGAAACTAGAGAAATAAATAACATGAAGAATAGTGTGGGTATAGTGTACTACTTTCGTTGCTAGGCATGCTGCTAGGGTTTGCATGACTGCCATCTTGTAGGCCAGTGCTAAACTTGTCCCACGGGGTATACACAAAGGAGGTTTCACTTTGGAACAAGAGAACTGCCCTTTGAGATGGCTACCACGCAAAGCCTCTAATGCGCAACCCGCCTTGTGTGGCCTGTCTCTGCGGGTTGGGCCGAGCCAACTGGAGCACTGTAGTTGGGACGGTGGGACCGATGCTATGCATGTAGTTAGGTGTACTAGACCAATTGCGCCCTCTAGGTCACGTGACCTATAGTTGGTGTTAAATATAAAATATGGCGTCCCCTATAGCAAAGTATTTCATTTCACAAAAATACAGTCGACCGTTGGTACAGTACTCAGACTACTAAGGTGCTGAGTACTATACAAAAAATCGACTTTATACATGTAGGTCACGTAACTTAAATACTGGACGCAATCGGCCTATTATGGCCTTGACAATACCAGTGCACTACTTCGGACTAATGATTCTCGTGCAAAATGTTCAATTCGCAAATAACTTGAAAATACTACCGATGTTTTTAGAGGGTCTTCTTACACAAGGCACTTTATTTCGCCTGTTTGGATAAGCTAAAGACGTGGTGCTAAAATTGGAAAGACTGTGGACGTATTTTCTTTCAAATCTGAATGTGTTTATTTTTTTTAGTTAAGTCACTTTTTTCAGAATTTGTTTCAAATTTTGTGCACCTGGATTCATACGTCACGGTATGAACCCAGTATTGGGTTGTCCAATCAATTATGTGGTATTTCTAACAGGTTGAAGCCCTACACTTAGCTCTAGTCTACGGATTCATATGCAGTCTTACGCACAAACGAGGGTGGTACATTTCTACACAAACCGGTCGAGTGTTGTCAAAGGTGAATCAAAATCTTCCTTTATCTCCGAATACAAATGGAAGCTACGAAATGTTTTATTTGATATCGCGATAACTGTGGTTCCTAAAGTCCTTAAACCTCAGCTTTGAATAGATCAAAATAAAAAAGGGCGCTTTTTGGAACCACTAACATTCAGTGCAGTTTGCCCTTGTATAATTAATTCTTATGTGGAAATTATCCTGAGACCCTCCGTCAACCACTCAAACCAGCTTACGGGTCGATAAGCCTTTACAATTAAGGGATAGTCTAATCACGCCATACAGTATTCGTGACACACTGATAACGTAACACAGTCCTGTCGTGTCAAGGTCCATTGCCCCTTTTATGCAGGGTAGCTCTGCGCAACTTCTCCCTGACATTTCGTAACTTACACAGAAGCTTGATAGCCAGCTCATTAAATCTGATTGGTATATTGAAAGTTCTGGTGTGTGACAATTTTCCTTTTTGAATACTCCCGTTTTCAACTCACATTGCCTTTTATGCATATGCACGCACATTGAGTGGGCGGTTACCGACAGAATGAGTAGATTTCAGTCTGAGAAAGATCATCTGTTGACTTCTAGAGATGACGAGGGTGATCAAGTGGACAGCGAGTGGACAGGCAGTCGGCTCCGGGCCAGCAAGCGATGGATAACGGTGGAACCAGTGCTTATGGTCGCTTTTGCTGCCGTTGGTGTGCACCTTATGATAAGTGTGGAATATCTGCAGAGTTTAGTCGCCCGAGATCGCGCCGCGAACGGGAGCCATCTCAATCAATCCTGCACCAGCAATGCCTCTGATCCGGCCTACCAGTTACAGCAGGAGATACAGTCAGAGACGTCGCTCTGGGCGATGTACCTCCAGCTGTGTGCCTTCGGGTTGGCAGCACTTACCACGCCCGTCATAAGCGCCTGGAGCGACAACTACGGACGCAAGGTTCCGATTTTCGTCTGCTGCGCCGGCATTCTCGCTAACTGCGCGGTGTACCTCGCGGCAACCTCCCTGGACCTGCCTCGCTACGTACTCTTTGTCGGGGAAGCTCTGCAAGGCCTGACGGGCAACATGGTTCTGATCTCCCCTCTTTCGTTAGCCTACATTGCCGACATCACCAGGGAGAAACAGCGCACGCTTCGCTTTGTGGTGATCACCGGCACTACGGTGTTGGGTGTGGCTTGTGCGCAGTTTGGCGTTGGGTACGCCGTAGACTCCTTCGGCTTCGCACCAGTCTACGCAGCACTTTGTGTTGCACTCGGAGTTGTGTTGCTGTACATTGCAGTACCAACTTGCCTGCTTGAGACACGACAAGCTGACAGGAACAAAGGTAAGTGCCGAATGAGTGTAGGCTGTCTAGACAGGCTGGAAGTGTCGGCATACCCGTCCACATAATTCAGTATCATTATTTTTGCGTTAAATACATCAATCTTTTTATTGCACGCTTCAGCAAATTTCTGTGAACGTTATGTTGACCATTCAGAAAATTGTTTGGAAAAAACAAACAAACAAACAAACGTGCTCTTTTCGACCATCAGAAACAACCGCTGAGCAGTTTGGCCACGCCTTTGGGGGGATTGCGAGTTTGTTCAGCGTCAAGGAAGACAAGAGACACATCCGTCTCATCTTGCTGTCTGCTATAAACTTCACTGGTAATTTCCTGTTCCAGGTATGGTTTTTTTCACCAGGAGCGTGTTCGATTACTTCCCGCGCCTACTCGCTTAAGCGCCATGTAGGGTTATAAATTGACGTCATATGATAGTTTTCAACCGTGTTATAAACAATAAGTTGGAATAACCCCTCGTTTATGTCATTAAATCAGCACAACGTGGCGTTTTCTGTGTGCCTTTTTTCAGTCTCAGCCTGGGCTCTTTGCAAAAATTTATCGAAATTGGTCAATGAGGGCAGCAGACAAATCTTGGCAAAAAGTGACTTCATAAGACGGACTCGACTTTCCCGACAGGAATGCACAGTTCCGGCGAGAAAGTTGATCGGTCCAAGCAAGCGACTCGCAGTGCACGGTGAAAAAAGTTGTCAGAATGGAACACAAACTTTGACGAAGTACGCTAGCCTATAACCGTGGACAATACTACCCCAAAAATCACTGAAACACACAACCAAACAACCAAACTGGTGAAACAGATAAAAGACAAGGAAAGCAATCTAGCTTTCCAAGTAGGCAGTAGGCCCTAAAGACAAGTCCCAACGTAACGTCAACCCGTTTGTGTCACCTGGTTTTGCCGGTTGTCGACGATAATACAAACATGTTTCACTTAAAAACAGGCTTTATCAAACAAACATCAGCGAATACCGCTATCGATTAGCCAGTGGAAGGACAATTACGTCTTTTCAGAAAGACAATTTTTTTATAATGGTGCAGGAAAAGAAATCATAATTCCCAGTCAGTGTTTTTCCAAGGATGGATTTGCACCGGGGACCACCAAGCTTGCCATCCTCCTATTTGTGGAAATAGTTGTTCGCAGTACCAGCTGCTACATCTGACTCCACCAGCCAACTGACACCGGCAAGCTCAGTGGTCGAGTGGTTAAGCCGTCTGCCCTAGTAAGCAGGAGTTCGTGGGTTCGAGTCCCACCCGAGTACACTTGTGGTTTTCTCACAGGCCCTCGGGGGCAAACACAGTACAGAGTGTCGTAATACGCGCCGGGCAGGGCAAGAATCTAACATTAGTCAGTGTTTGGTAGTCGATCCTCCGGGTCGCCACCATGCCCGTGGCCAACAGCCTCGAGTTGCAAAATCTCGATTGACGATCTATGATGTGCCCCTACGGCATCAACATAGAGTTCTTAGAAAATAGAGGAATCGCCCCTCCAGATGGCTGACTAATGAATAAGGCCAATTGAGCTATCTGGCAACCAGGAAAGAAAGCATTAATGATGAAACTTCGGGCTCACACGCAGCTGAGACGCGCACGTTACACTGATGCCCCAATATGGTTTTGTGACTTGTCAATGCACGCGCACTTGTGAGTGTACTGCCGTGGCAGTTATACTGCCGCCTGAGATTCAAACACATCGTGATTCATTAGTACCAGGGGAAACAATTTCAAGTCGGGGGAATCCATGCACTCTTATGCAAATTATGTCCGATGACGCCTCTGGATTCACCGATTTGACTTACATTGACTCATGCCCGACCATCATAATTAAGCGCATGTTATTGAGGTGGTCAATGTTTCGCCTTTGAATGCAATTTCATTTAGAAAATGGGGCAATTAGGAAAACCTGCTTTTTGCCGTTCGATTTAAAAGGACTTCAGGGTATAATATTCGATTTTGTCACTAACCAAAGAAAGTATTTTAAAAATGTTGTATATATATTCTATTTTACTCTGACAGGGAGCATCGGCATTAGCAATCCTGTATGTAATGGCAGCACCGATATGCTGGTCAGCGGTGACCGTGGGAACCTACACTGCAGTATCCTTGACATCAATGTGCTTTGGTAAAGTTTCGTAAGGAGAAGACGACTTTTAAGAAATTGAAACCGAATTTTCACCTCAAGATCCAAAGATGTGGGATGGTACAGCCACAGCGATGGGTGTATGATTGAGTTTTTAATTACATGAGGACTTTGAGGGATATAACAGAAATGAAACTGTTCACAATCGAGACCACTTAGAATGATCTCGCTGTACGCATCACGCTACAGGTTGTGCTTGTAGCAACGGGCCTTTCTATTTCCTGTTGCTTTCCTTTTGTTTGATGTGAGGCTTTTTTTCGAAGAGTTCCCATAAATTTGTGCGCGATATTCCACTCAGAGACCTTCCCCCAATTTTGGACCTTCCCTTAATCGGGGGACTTTACCCAATCGGGGACCTTAAACCAATCTGGAATCCCATTTACCTCTGTCGTTCGATTCAGTGCCTCTAAAAACAAACTCATTGCGCCAAAGGATGTGTTCTTAACAATGGACATTTCATTATACCAATGGATATTTGGTGGAAATTTTTTTTTGCTTTCTTTTTGACCATAAAATTAAAGAAGCACAATGAATTTAAAGAGGCGCAATAGTGCTGCAATCCATGGCTTTCCTGTAGATCATTGATCCGTTGCTTTACATGACCCATTTTGCACGTGGTAGCACTTAGCCTTTGGAACATTTCCATTTATTTCCAGGAACCTTGGTTGGAGGAGCAACCCTCCCTCGTTGCTTCAAAGAGGGGTTTGTCCTGTACATTTGCTGCGCCAGTTACCTGTCTTACAACCTCATCACAGGATTGGTAACTTCGACTGAACTTCTCTTTGTTGGTAAGGAATATGAAGAGAATCGGATAATGGAAGCCCACAGACGAATAGATTTCTCGTGGAACTGGTCCCATGTTGAAGCTTCGCATCTCTCGATGCTGTACCAGATGAATTAACATTGAAATATGCAACGTTATGAATACTGTATGGACCACTGCTGGTATCGTCTTAATTGGTGACCGAAATGAGGACAAATCACAGCAATGGCATCGCGCTGGCGCGCAGGTGGTATTGATATTCGCACGGCGAGCCCTTCTTGACCAATAATCCCCAAGCGCGACCAAGAGAGGGCCCAATTTCCCTACCAACGGAGGCTCCTTAGGTGGTAACTGCACTTCGCTGGTTCGCGAAAGACTATGAAATGCATACGTTGCGGTGACTCAGCAACTGGAACAAAAGTGAATATTCCTTGCCAACGTGGCTCTTTTCAACCGATGAGGGTGTGCTTCTGCTCTAGGCGGGTAGTGTGTTTTGGCCTGCCAATATGCTTATGCCCGTAAATAAAAGAACGCGCGCGTCAGTGTCGTGCCAATCCATCTGCTTGGATTAGTCTACGCCGGCATGTACGTCTCACTATTGGATCATTCGAATGTTGTTTAAATGTTGAAAACCGCTGTTAGTATTGGTGATTCACTTTCTCAAACATTGGCTATTAACTATCCAGTGCCACAAGGGTCAGTGTTAGGGCCCCAATGGTTTGCCATCAACGTTTTGCCTATCCGACATATCATTGAGCGTGTTCATATCCAGTATCACTTTTATGCTAATGACATGCAATTATACGTGCCTTTTAAACCTGTGCAGTATACCGTTGATGACAATAGTGCCTGCAAAGAGGCATGTATAGGTGACATTTGCCAATGGATGAAAGTGAATTTAAATGATGGAAAAACAGAATTCATGCTTGTCGTGTAACAACAACTCGGTAACCACGGTTAACCATATCACCGTAGGAGGCTCAGATACCGTCCCTTCTAGAAGAGTTCGTAACCTAGGAATTGTTATGAATTCTGCCTTAACTTTTAAATCACACGCTTCCTGCATTCCACAGTCGATCACGAACAACCTCAGAAACCTCAGTAAAATTCGCAAACACCTTTCGAAACAAGCAACGGAAAAACTGATACGTGCTGTCGTTACCTCTTGCTTGGACATGTGCAACTCTCTTCTCTTTGGCATTCACCAACATCTGCTGACTCAGCTACAGCGTAAATAAAATCGTGCTGCACGCCTCATTACACGAACCAAACACTTCTAATTCTCACACATAACTGCCATTCTCCCCATCACTGGCTTCTCATCAAATATAGAATCTTCTCTGAGTTCTTTCAAGACGGCACTCAGGAGATACTTTTATAACCTTGCTTACAGCGCTAGCTGGTAAAAAATCTATTTTTCCCGCAAGTGACTGCAACAATGTATTTTCACTTTTGTAGCGCCATGATAGCCTATATCTCAGATGGATTTGTGAGCTTTATAAATGCTCGTTATCAGTATTGATAATTCGTGTGAAATAGCCAATGGTCAAATAATCTTAGTCTCACTTCTTGTTAAGCAAAATATCTAATACTTAAAATATATGCTTCACGAACAGGCGCTGTTACGGGCTGCCTTCGTTATCTCCAATTGATAGTATTGACCGCCATCGTTTCAAAGACAGTAACTGCGGGTGAACAAGGTAAGAAAGTAAAGCATGACCCACAGATTTCATTTGAGAGGTCACATTATAACATTCCGCGTACCTGCTCATTTTTCTCTTTTAAAACTGCTGCTGTCGATCAAGCAGGGTGCTTGAATGTCCAGTCGTTTTAAGCCAAATAGAGAAATCACAGTGATTGACCGGAGGCTTTAATTTGATGGCACATATTGCTCCTCGTAGTCAAAACTGCTCTTACAAATGTACACCTTGCAGGTGTGGCTTTGGGCATCGTGACCGTTTTAGGACTTATTTCCCTTTTCGTGGCACCGTTGGTATGTAATGCCACGTTCGCCGCCACCGTGGAGTTCTTCCCTGGACTGACCTTCGTAGCTATGGCCGGTGCTAGCGTCTTACCTGTGCCACTCATCATGTAAGTCCTTTTATCGAGCAGAATTTGGAGGTGATTTGGTTTTTCTCTGTAAGGAGCAAACGTGCTCTTTTGGACGCTCTGGAGCAGTGGCGTATCCAGCGGAGGGGGGGGCAACTCCCTCGACGGATTTTTGATTTTTCTTTACAAATTATTGTTCATAGATGTTTAGGAAAGAAAGTAATCGGTATATTTATTTATCAGATATTAGCACCAAAACTCTAAGAAAACAACACCAGTTGTTTTTTTTCTCCTCCCACATTGTGTTGAATGATCCCAAAGCCGCCTTCGCTTTTGAATTTGCCTCCCCCTTCACCCCAGCAAAAGCCCCTTCCATGGAGGCGGTAATATGTTCCAGTTTTAGTTACCCCCCCCCAAAAAAAGTGCCATCGAGCACAACAGCCAGACTTGTACAAGCAGTGGTCTCCATATGGCAGGTCTTTCGATACGCGCGACATGAGTGACACATACGGTCGACTCGGGCATATGTGGACGTTCGACAGCTCCTGGACCAGTGGGATTGTACGTTATAAAGCTGATCATTGGACACATTCTATCTGGCAATGTGCAACTATACAATTTTTTCCTCTCTTGATCGACGGGGCCAGTGTAGCCAACCATACATGGGAAAAGGACTGTCCAAACTCTTAATCTGAACTCTGTTTATTTCTCCGCTCCACTCGAGGCCATAGCCACTGTCATAAGGTGTAATGCTATCTAACAATGGGTAGCGCTTGTGCGGTTTATTGTAATAAACCAAAGTGAGTAATGAATAACAATACCCTCAGTGAAGTGATCCAATAAAGTTTGATTCTATACCCAAATATTCACCCAAATTTATACCTTTAACCTCACCAAATGTGCCAAATTTATTTGAAGTAATTGCAGAATACCCTGCCACAAAAAACAAAACAAAACAAAACAAAACAAACAAAAAACCTGGAATGACTAGTTACTTGGGTACAAGGTGAAAATCCCTTGAGAAGAGCGTGACACTTTGACTTGTACCTGGCTATGAGGCTGATCATGCGGGATGGCGGCGTATTCTGCAATTGAGCCAAATGTAGACCTAATATATTCCGATTGTGTCGGGAAAATTACACCTTGTTTCTAGAATTAAAAGTTAACCTCTTTCCACAATGACATGGAAGTACATGTTTGACACGTGCAACCCTTGACCTAAATCTTTTGAATGAAGAAATGGGGGCGCCCTATGCAAATTATGATACCAGTCTGGCAGGTAGACGTTACGGCCAGTTTTTGGTGCTTTATCCTACCGTAGGATTCTGCAATGCATGACGCCCACGTTGAGAAAGAAGTCAATCGGTCAGGATTCAGACAAGAAGTCCTCGTCTTATGGAGGTATTGATGAGTCAATCAGTGCGCTCACGCAAGCAACGGAAGACGATAATTCCATCACAGCGGAGGCGATAGATGCGGAGGAAGCCGGCCAAAGTACTATATAGGAGATGCATAACAGACATCGACGGTTCAAACATTCATCCGAGCAAGGGCAGATTCGGAACTAAACTTTCGTAATTGTTATTTTTTGGGGGGTCAAGAGTTTTATTCATGTAACCTTTTATAATCTTTGAGGGATGGAATGTCTCATTATGTAATTTTTTTGCTTCTTTCTTGGGGGTGAGAATCGACATAGTCCCCGTTTGGCCCACCCCCAGATCCGCCCTTGTATTTACGCTACTCAAATCAAATACTTTATTTACTGAACACTGATGGATCAATGGTGCAATGTGTTTATTTCCATTACTCCTATGAAATCATTAGGTGAACGTATGTTCAATTTAGTTTGCTAACAAATCCACTGACATAAAATTATATCCTTTCAAATTTGCTATTTGCCATTTAGACAGGATATCCTCCAATTCTTTTGCTATTTAATATCAACTTACCCAACGATATTAACACGTACATTTAGTAAGGAGATTTCATGCTATGTTTGCATGTAATGATGTCACAGTTGTATCGATTAACTCTTACAGAGAAATGCGAAAGAAATATCCTCTGATTCTAATTTGATTTCAATTTCATCGATGGCTAAATGATTCGCGTACCGTACTGGCTTTGTTATTTGTTGAGTATTACAAGGTCTCATTATTGATATTGTCGTGTTTGGATGACAAGTGGGCTCTGTGAAGAACATTACAAAAGACGCTTTTTAATTTGAGTTATACAAACTCTTATACCTTAGGTTAGAGCAACTACTTGACAGCCCTGTTGTGGAATTGTAGGCGCTTGGCATTTTAACTGGGGTCTACGAGTAGCTAGGGACACGAACGTCTTATTTAGAACAAGTTTGGGATTGCAATGCTCTTGTATCGACTGAAGCTACCGGCAGCCATCTTACCTTGCCGATATACCAAGGCGTTCGTTTTCTATTGTTACCACGGACGAATCGGTGACAATGATATGAGCAATACCTAAGATGGCCGCCGGTGGCCACCGCCGGATGGAGGCTTCAGTGCCTTATGCTAGCTGATTAAAAGCCAAAAAAGCCTCCGATTTCTGGTCAGGAGCTGCCTCCAAAAGTGGTGCGGCGAGGCAGATTTTTTACCCTCACTCTTTTTTTGGAAATAATGTAGGTATAACGCACGATGTCCCTCATGACAGCATGTGCATGTAACGGCGGTCACTACCAACACTAAAATAGACTGGCCCAGCACTTTTTACTGTTCAAAAGCATTTTCGGCTTGTACATATGCACAGGAAAAGAGACCGGCTCGTTTGTCTTGTTCCCAGATGTAAATATAGAATACAGAAAAGACGTCATCTGAAAAAGAGTGCCTGACCGTCACGCCATACACAACCTTTTCTGGTGACGACATTGAAAAATTGTCCTTTTAAAGTATGCTATCAGTAATTTATAAAACTTTTTGAAACAAATTTTTAAACAGTGTCACAAAGGTTCATTAAAAAAAACCCCAAAACAAGAAACAACAACAAAGAAAAACAAGAAACAAACAAAAAAACAAAGCTGACCGTGGGCGCAGTATTGAGACTACTGATGTGTCGAGTACTCTACCGACACTCGGCTTTATAGGTCTCGTGACTTGTCTTGTCTGTGAGCAAAGAGCCGATCGCGGCGTAATTTGGAATGAAACGTCGGTAATTAGACCCAGGAACGACCTTGTTATAGTTATTTCTTAGTTTCAGGTAGTATTATGGACTGAATTTTGTCAAACTTTTTCTTGCTGTGGTGCAAGTTTACCCTTTCCTACCACTTGACCAAGAAATCCAACTCTTTCTGTTCCTATTACATTTACTTGGTTTTGCAGTAAAGTGTGCCTTACGCAGCGTCTCAAGGTGTTTCTCCCAAGTTGGAATACGAACAAGAATATCGTCTACGAAGCTTTTTGCTCGTTCATGCAGTAATGATTGCCTAATTCGGGTGAATGTTGCCCGTGCGTTCACAAGGCGAAAAGGCATGACTTTGAAATGATAGTTGGGGAGGCGGCAAGCGGGTACAGTTTGAACCTTGGCCTATAAATAAGAAAAAAGTCTCATGAATATGCATTTAAGCATAATGATATGATCATGCTGATATGAATAGGAATGAGGTGTAGAGTGAAAAACATAATATAAGATGACCCAGGGACGAATAGGAACAAGGCAACGGTCAGAAAGTCTGATACATTCCGACCTTTTGTATGGGTGAATAGGAATAGGTTAGAAATATGGTACAGGTTGACCTTTCCTTTGAAATTATTGCATATCATGATGAAAATGATGATAAAGATAGACGAGGAGTCATATTGCATGAGTCATATTGACTGGCCCACCGTACGTGCATGGTACCGGGTAATAGGGGTCAATCTTTATAGGACAAAGGGCTGTACGCGGCGCTGTGCGGTGGCTAGTGTGTACCTCGGAGTGAGCTCATGATACAGCCCGAAAGTAGAATTTGCCAATAGCCTTTTGTCAAGTCGAACTTCGAAAAATACTGGTCTTATCTTATCTTTATCTTGACACGGTAAAGGTTTTGCATCAAAAAAGTAACCTTGTTCATCTTCCTGAAATCGACACAAAGTTCGTTCCGATTCGTTCCGTCCCTTTTCTTCACAAGCCCAATATGAGATGCATATGGAGAAGTCGAGAATTCGATTATGCCCATTTTCAGAATGTCCTGTACTTCTCTGGTTACGGTTTCTCTGAGAGCATACGGTAATATATAGGGTTTACATCGGACAGGGTCTGAAGCACCTAGTGTGATTTTGTGTTGACCGAGATAGATTTCAACAGGCAAGTCGGTCATAACATCACGATGATTACTTAGAATTTGCTTCACGCTGTTTGATTTGTTGTGGCTCTAAATAATACCGATTTTGACATCTGCAACGTTTGCTGAGACGTTACTAAGATAGTAACGTGATGGTGTCTGCATTGTCAGTCGTTAAGCGTTCGATACCAAGCTCTGCGTCATATGAGGGATTTTCGCCTTCGATGATTGACACGCCAGCGCATTCCAGTAGACTTCCAATTGTCTTGGGTTCAATTGGATCTGTTTGTCTCATTTTCAGATTACGTGATGTATTGCTTGAGCAAGTTAGGATGAAACGGTTTTGGCTTGCTGTTCAAGTCAACGAGCTTCCGTCTAGGTCTTTTGTCTGCGCGTCTCCGCGTATGCTGAAGCAGTGAGGGCCTAGACCAAGCTCTACACTCAACGCAGAAGCGAGGGTAGTACATTTCTACAGAAGTCGGTGGCACGTTGTCAAAGGTTGATCTCAGGTCGTCTTTCGTCTCCTAATCCAAAGGGACGTTAATCACTGTTTTATTTGATTTCGAGATAACTATGAATCCCAAAGTCCGTAAATCTCGGTTTTGAATGGTAAACATTGACCTAAGTAAAGAACAGGGTGCTTTTGGATCCATTGAAATTCAAAGTTGTCGGCCCTTGTGTAATTTTATCTCTTTATGTGAGTTATTCTGAGACTCTCTTCAATGATCCACACCAGCTAACAGGCCGATAGGTCTTCATATTTATAGTACAGTCCAATCACGCCATTAAGTATTAACAGCACAATGATAACGAAACGTTGCCCTCTCCGGCCTGGGTCCATTGTCCCTTTTGCCCAGTATAGCTCTGTACAACTTCTCGATCTGTGACATTTCGTAACGTACATAGAAGCTTGATAGCCAGCTCATTAAATCTGATTGGTATATTGAAAGTTCTGGTGTGTGACAATTTTCCTTTTTGAATACTCCCGTTTTCAACTCACATTGCCCTTTATGCATATGCACGCACATTGAGTGGGCGGTTACAGACGGGATGAGTAGATTTCAGTCTGAGAAAGATCATCTGTTGACCTCTAGAGATGACGAGGGTGATCAAGTGGACAGCGAGTGGACAGACAGTCGGCTCCGGGCCAGCAAGCGATGGATAACGGTGGAACCAGCGCTTATGGTCGCTTTGGCAGCCGTTGGTGTGCACCTTATGATAAGTGTGGAATATCTGCAGAGTTTAGTCGCCCGAGATCGCGCTGCAAATGGGAGCCATCTCAATCAATCCTGCACCAGCAATGCCTCTGATCCGGCCTACCAGTTACAGCAGAAGATACAGTCAGAGACGTCGCTCTGGGCGATGTACCTCCAGCTGTGCGCCTTCGGGCTGGCAGCACTTACCACGCCCGTCATAAGCGCCTGGAGCGACAACTACGGACGCAAGGTTCCGATTTTCGTCTGCTGCGCCGGCATTCTCGCTAACTGCGCGGTGTACCTCGCGGCAACCTCCCTGGACCTGCCTCGCTACGTACTCTTTGTCGGGGAAGCTCTGCAAGGCCTGACGGGCAACATGGTTCTGATCTCCCCTCTTTCGTTAGCCTACATTGCCGACATCACCAGGGAGAAACAGCGCACGCTTCGCTTTGTGGTGACCCTCGGCACTGCTATTTTGGTTGGGGCTTGTGCGCAGTTTGGCGTTGGGTACGCCGTAGACTCCTTCGGCTTCGCACCAGTCTACGCAGCACTTTGTGTTGCACTCGGAGTTGTGTTGCTGTACATTGCAGTACCAACTTGCCTGCTTGAGACAAGACAAGCTGACAGGAACAAAGGTAAGTGCCGAATGAGTGTAGACAGGCTGGAAGTGTCTGGGATATTTGTCCACAAAATTAAGCATTACTTTTGCGTTAAATAAGCCTGTCAATCTTTCTCTTGCACACTTTAGCAAAATCCTATGAACGTTATGTTGACCATTCAGAAAATGTTTGAAAAGAATCTTACTTGCTTTTCTGACCATCAGAAAAAATTGCTGGGCAGTTTGGCCACACCTTTGCGCGGATAGCACAATTGTTCGGTGTGACGGAGGACAAGCGACACATCCGTCTCATCTTGCTGTCTGCTATAAACTTCATTGGTAATTTCATGTTCCAGGTAGGCCTGTGGACTTTAGTCCGCTTGAGCGCGTTCGATTACTTCCCCGCGTCTACTCGCTTAAGCGCAGCTGCGTTCGATAT